AAACTAAAATAATCCAATATGATTTAATAGGTCATGGACCTTGTGGAGGCTTATTGGCTATTTTATTTTCTATAGTGTCATCTTATGTGATTTATGGCTTTTACATGTTAATTTTATTATGTCTTGCACTTTGTATGCTTATTTTGTGTGATGCTTGGTCAAGGTTAGCATACATGAAGTAGGTGCGGGACTTGAGATCGATTTTGTTCTAATAACAAGTATTTTCTTATTATTATTTATTTTATTTTATTATTATTGTTACTATTTATTTGGTTTAATGTTAATTTTATTTATTTTCATAGTAGTACTCATTTTGTTTTCTTATAGACTTGGCTCTAAAATAGACCTTAGCCCCAAGTCTAATTTTGGTATTTTAAAAGTGGCATGATAAATGGTTATGGTTTTGAGGCTCATCTCTCTCGTTCTTTGATTTTCTTTTTAAATCTTAGACTTGTAATTTGTATTTCATGGTTTGGTAGGTAAATTTGGGTCTATGGTCTTTGTTCATTTTTTGTTAATTTTTATCTATTTTGGCATAGGATTTGGAGTATTTAATTAGCAATAGGCTTTAAGGCCCAATATTTACCTTTCCAATCGAACTCTAAAATCTCAATGACATATTAGGTGAGAGATTAACTCTTCTTTCAATCTTCAAATTGCCTTATTAGGATCTATTAGAAAAGCTCAAAAAATCAAACTCATAAATCAAGATAGACAAACAAACATAAAATAGACTTGTATGAACGAATTCTCATAGACTAGAAGTATGAAGTAACATTATTGCGAGGATATATTAGGGTGAATACAGTCTTTCTTTACTTATGTAATCAACTTCTTTACTTATGACTCTTAAAACCAAGTACTAGATTTTTCTTAGTTTTTACTTTTTAAAAAATTGAGTGGCGACTCCACACACATCGAACATATACATTATATTTTTACAATCGTCGAGAGGTTATCGTGTGACGAGAATCATACAATTCATCCAAGTGTCCTTAATGATGAAAAAAAAGTGAGAATTTATGATTGTCATATGATTGAGATTTCTATAATTAACATATATCCTCTAATTATCTTTTTTTTTTTTTTACCAACACCACTAGAGAAGAGAAATGATTGATGTTAAATTGTATACTCCCACTTCCAAACATGCTCTTGGATTTGTCTCTTAATTTCATCTTTTTGAACAAAAGAATACTTGTATGGTTTCTTACTTAAAGGTTCTAATCCTTTTTTCAAAGTTATTCTATGATCATGAGTCATTTGAGGAGGTAATCTTTTTTAGTTCATGAAAAACATCCATAAGTCTTTTTAAAATTGTCTCAAATTTAGTAGGAATTTCATGTCTTAATTCTACTTAACATAATGACATTTCCATTTCTTTCATTTCAACTATGTGACTCAATTGTAACCATTTTAATTGTTATTGTATACAAAGAATTCTATCAATCTTTTTCCTTATTTTAATCAATTTCACACATTTATCCTATAAAATCAACAACCTTCCTTCATTCACAAACTCCATCCATATTTTTACTTAAAATTCCAAAGATTATTTTATAAATCCCTAATTGGACCATAAAAATAGTAGTCTCAAAGACCTTATTTTGTATTTTTCATTTAAAATTGCTATGCATATACTCACAACATATTTTTCTTCCATTTTCACCCTCATTGTAATAGGACTAATTTTAACCTAGTTGAAAATTGTTCTTACAAAACTCAAAGCCATAAAAGTATGAATTCCGCCAATATCCATTAATATATTTATCCTTTTACCATGCAATTCTCTTATAATTTTCATGGTCTAATAGTATTCACCACCAAACAAAACATAAGTAGAAATTTGATCTATCTACCTATAAAAACCTCCCAAATTATTAGTAGTCCTCATATTACCCCCTCTACATTTGTTTTTTTCCTTAAAGTCATTAACTTCCTCCTCATTTACTTCAAGCATGAAGATTTGTCTTTCTTTACACTTATATCCAAAGGTATGCTTCTCATCATATATAACATTTACCACCAAACACAACTTAACTAGAAATTTAATATAATTTCCTTAAAAGCCTCCTAATTAGTCGTCCTTGAATTATCCTCATCCACATTCATTTTTTTCTTAACATCATTAACTTTCTCTTCCTTTACTTCAAGTATGAACATTTGTCTTTCTTTAAACTTGTGTCTAGAGGTATACTTCTCTTCACAAAAGTAGCATTGCCCTCTCAATTTTCTCTCATCTAGTTCCTTGTTACTTGGCGTCTTCTAATTTTAAACATAGAGTTGGCATTTTAAAAGTAAGTTGGTAAGGCAAATAAACCTTTTTTATTGTGAAATAGATGAATTCTTATAGTTTATTGAAGAGTTTTAACCATTTTGGTTTATAGATTTATAAAAAGTTATAGGGTTTGATCGATGGCTAGCCATAAAAGTATGACTATTAGATTTTTGACTAATCATAAAAAGAAGTTTAGTGTGGAATCTGTTTGATCGAGGTTGAATGTTGGGATTAGTTTCTTATAATTTGGCTAAAACTACTCGTTTTTAAAGAGTTTTAGATCTCGAATTCTAATTGGGACTTGCAATTCTAGTGTCTTTATGCAAAATCATTTTTTTTTTATCACGAAATGAATCTTTTAAGAAAAAATGGACATCATGTGTTGGTTTCAATCCCATCAACTTAGGCATAAAATCATTGAACACCATTTCTCCAAAAACCATGCCCATAAGATCAATTTAATCCTCTTATTTGATCAAGCTATTAACCTCATACATACTCACATACACTTGATGTTATTTGAAAGTCTCATCTTCCAAATGAATAACAATGAAATTCACCTTGGCCTTTTGAAGAGTTCCATCTATCGTAAATAATTTTTACACTCGAAAACTCATCCATCAAAATCTCGACCGGAAAACCTAAGGAACTTTACTTTAGTCATCCTAATATTCGACTAATATCCAAATTGTCTCTAGTGGTAACCATTGTTCATGTATCTCGTATTTAAAGCCCCAATATGATACCCATATTTAGGACCCTAATTAGTATCCCCATCCATATTACTTAACCCTCTATTACTAACACCATTCATCCTATTAGATGCTATTTCATCTAAAACTAGATCTTTAAGTTCATTCATCAATTCTTTAAATTCACTAATTTCTTGATTATGTTAAGAAAAAATGATTTTATATTTTTTAGTGAGATAAGAAATTACTTAGTAAGTGAATGGATTCTTCAACTTTCTTAAGGTCTCGCCTTTTTTTCATCACAATGATTTTTTTCTTCTTCTTCACAAGTGCCAAGAAATGCAAGGTTTAAGTAAATTTTATAAATGAAATGGTTTTATTCAGGAAGTAAATGAACCAACCTATGCAAGATTACGAAATAACAATAATTGATCAACAAAAGAAATTACTAAGAAAAATAAAAAAAATCAAAGAGAAATATCCCAATTTGCGAATAAGGAATTCTAAGCTTTCTTTTCGCTAATTTATACCGTAGTCATTAGACTAACAAACAAAAAAATAACAAACTAATCTCTCACATATCATTTAAACCACACAAATGTGCCTTTGTTACTAACTTACGTGAATTCCCTCTTTCAATTTAATTCTCCATTTTACCAATTCAATCACAATTGATATTGCAACCTTTCTAACACTAGAACTAATTTCAAAATTATATTAACTTTGTTTAACAAGAGGCTAATGATTAAGTTGTAAGTTTTCTAGGAAAAAAAGAGAGTTATGGATGGTTAAAAACCTAGAAGGTAGAAAATAACTGGGAAAAATCTCAAAAATTCTTTCGTGTATATAGATAGTTTCAATTTTGCAAGAACAAATTTGGCTTAATGTATCAAAAAATCAAGAACTTTACACTTTTTAATGATTTTAGCTCATTTTTCAATTTGGATAGAAAAATTATGAACTAAGCTTCGGCAACGATGTTAGCACGAGTGAATTTTTTCGACTTAAATTCCAACTAAAGTCGATGAGGCGTGTGATGGAGCATGACAACAAAGTAACTTTGCCATGTAAGATTTCATGTAGAATCCATGTGGCCTATTAAAAAATTACTCAATCCAATTAAAAAAAACCCTAACATAATTAAAAAAACGTTAACCCAATTAAAAAACCCTAACCAAATTCTTCCTTCTTTTTTTCTCATCCTCATCCACCACCTAACCAAAATTCCTTCCCCACCGACACTTTCTTCGGAAACTCACCATCACTATCATTGCCATACTTCGTGGTATTGCACCTATAAAAAAATTGATAAGCTAAAAATCTATCCCACCTTTTTTGAGACTTGAATTGTCCTAGTATTATGCCTCTAATGTATGACCTTATTGTCTTTTTTGTAAAATTTATATGTTGTGTGTAGCTTTTCCGCAATTGAGATGGTATCAACTACTAAATGTAATTAAAAATTTCAAAAGATGATTTTTTTTTCCCTCGCTTACTTCTTGTCTATCAAGTGATTTCTAGTTTTCGCCTCCATGTATCGGTGGAACAAGGGCTTAGAATTCCACGAGATAAAAATAGGTTTTAAATGCATAGTTACGATGATAAAATGGTATTAAAAAAACTGAGAATTTTGACGAAAACATTGCCTTTTGAGAAAAACAACAATTATATGAAAAATTATCAAAGTATAAGGACTAATTAGTTTATTTTGACAAAATATAGGCACTAATTTATAATTGACCTAACATTATAATTTACCATGTAGAGAGAATTTCAAAAAAAAAAAAAAAAGGAGCCCCGCAGAGTCGCAGACAGTATTGCCCTTTCTCGCGGAGACATCAACCGGAAGAAGGCGATCATTTTATCATCAATCCAATCCAAAACGATTTCTTCCTTTCAAAGCCAATGCCAATATGACTTGAAACACCAACTCCTTCAGACCCCAAACAGAACTCTTTTTATGACGTTGGATTTTTCTGAGTCATTTTATCAAGCATTTACACTCTAATCGAATATAAGTCTAAAAAACAATGCTTCGAAGGTATGGGCTACACATTTTATGCTTTAATCATTCGCTTTCCATCATTTACTTGCACAAATTCTGCTCTGTGATGACTTTTAGGTTTCTTCTTGTTGTACTGGAAAATTTTGATGTGATTATCGAGCTTAAATGCTGTTTTCGTTTTTTCTTTTGCTTTGGCTGGCAGGTCCCTTTTGGAGTTATCGAGTCGTCATCGACCACTAAGGAGGATCCCGAGACAGATTACTTCTCAGGCATGTTTATTTGCTAACGCAATGTAATTTTGCAATTATCTTTGGTAATCTTTTTTTAGATTTGAAACAATTCATTCTTCATTCGCGAAAATACCTGAGAGTGGAGTTTATTTTGAACCCAGAATTTGTTTTCCGACTTTTCATTAATATCATACAAATTCAACTTATTAGGTTTATGACCATGGCATAACCAGTCTTTAATGTTGATTTTTCTTTTTGCCCCTCATTATCTTATTTTCTTGTTTGTGCTTGAACCCAAAATTGTCCCTTTTTTTATTCGATTAGTTGTTTTGTGAATATGTGCTCCTATTTTTAGCTACCATCTTGATTATTTTGGCAAATGATTGTTGTTGAAGCTAATATCTAGTCTGCTGTTACTGGGTTCTGGTCTGTGGTATAATTTCAGTGTGTGCCTCCGTTCCTTTCTTCAAGGAAAGAATTCTCAACCTCTTCCCAGAAAAATGCATCCCCAAATGGTGATCCGAATGATAAATCAGAGAGGGCGGGATCGCTTTTAGTGAAAGGCTTAGGTGCAGCTCTTGTTGTTGGGACATGTTATTATGTAGGTTGGTTAGACCCATTCATTGACTTAATTCATAAAAAGAAGCAGGGTTATGTTGACTCCGGTGGGGATGGCATTGATCGTAAAGAGGTAAAAGGAGAGGAAGCGGGGTCATCCCTGAGTGAAGAGGCTAATAAATTAAGCCATTTTATAGAGGAGGCTGCGCAAAAGGTTCAAACTCAGACAGATCTTCCTAATGTTGAAACCAAGGAGGAGAAGGTTGAAATTCATCCAGATGTTCCTCATGTTGAAACTGAGCAGAAGGCTGAAACTCCTGCAGATCTCCCTCACGTTGAAGCTGACCAGAAGGTTGAAACTCAAATAGATCAACCTCATCATGAAACTTCAAGTAAAACAGAAAGTGACAATCAGTCTCAGGTAGTCCATGGGACAATCTCTGCTGAGGAGAGACATGAACCAGGGTTCTCTCAACATACAGGTTCTGAAGGCAGTGTTGGCATTGAAAGCCCAGAGTTGAAAACTACTCAAGAAACCAATGAGGAAGTTCAAGTTACACAAGTACAACCTAAGGATGCAGGTGTTCCTGTAGAGCAGGAAATAAAAAGAGTACCGACTCAGAATGTCAGTAAAGAAGACAGATCAGAGGTACTATTGATAGTAATTGCTTCTAATAATTTTGTACTTCATGTTGCTTTTGACTGTAAAACATGCTAGAGCATATAGTGCTAGATAGTCCCCTATCCCCACTGTATTAATTACCTTAAGTCTGGGCAGTCTCTTGTGTTCATTTTCCAGGAAAAAAAGGCTAAAATGCAAAACAAGAGAGTAAGATATCAAGAAGAAAATTTCCACTGTATGTGTGGCTACATATTCTGTTGCTTTAGAAGTCATTTTATTCCTTCTTGTCTAGCCTAGATAGCTTTCAAATGGAGTCTCTTTCAATAGGGAGACTGCTAAAAATCGAAGTTAGATTTGTATTTGTATTTTTGGTAATTTATTGGAAAGGTATTCACTATGCATCATGATGATGCTGGTGATACTAGCTGTTATACTTGTTTTATGTACCATAGAAATGAATTTTCAAAATACAATTCGTTCTCTATGTTTGTTGTGCTGTTCTGCACAGCTTTAAAAGCTATTTTGGTATCTCTTTGCACAGGCTGCCTCTGGTGAAGGTGTAGGAACATCAAGTCTACTTGATTCATACCATCTTGATGATGAAGCTGAAAAGAACACTGCAACAGAGGGCCTTGGAGAACAGGTTGTTATAGCCTGCTACATTTCTCTCATGTGCATATTTTTTGTGATCACAGGCATGTGCTTGCTTAACCAAGATTCTTTGAAACGACAGGCTGTTGTAAGTGCCATTGAAGAACTAAATGATGGTTACCTAACGAAAGATGGAAAGTTAGTTTTGGATTTTCTCCAAGCAATTCATACCGCTGAAAAGAGGCAAGCTGAATTGGATGCCCTTGCTTTTGCTGAAGAAAAAAGAGCACTGAAGGTATCAGTGTCGCATGCTTTGTAACATGGACATTTCTTGATTAATGATTACTGCATGTCCTTTTCTTTTGTCATGATCTATTTGCACTTATCCCTTGCTCTCTTTCAGGAGAAGTATGATAAAGCGTTGAGGGATTTAAGGGCTAGGGAACTTATGCGTGCAGAGGAGGCAGCAATATTGGATAAGGTTGTGCAGATTACTGTCGTCTTCTCATGTCTGTAGTATTTTAGTAAGAGAGTTAGTAGGGCATAGATATTGTTGGAGATAAGCTATCTGTATAAGCATATTCTCCAGCCCCCTTGCACCAATATAGTGCCACCTGTGATAGATGACAACTTCTACAATTTCAGGAAATGAAAAGAGAGAGAGCCAAAGCTGCAGCTGCAATCAAGACGCTTCAAGAAAGGATGGAAGAGAAACTTAGGGTGGAGCTTGAACAGAAGGTTTGCATATGTTTTTCCTTGTAATATTCTGTATCTTGTGCCTGGATTTGATAATGTTCAACTCAAGTTGCAAACTTTTTTAATGCAGGAACATGAGGCGGAAATGAAGCTGCAAAAGTTGCAGGAGTTAGCAAAAGCAGAATTGTCGGCTGCAATTGCAAGTGAGAAAGCAGCGCAGATTGAAAAGATGGCTGAAGCAAATCTCAATGTAAGATATCTCCTAGAAATTGATGATCTTACCACACATAGATTAGTTCATGGTTTAAAATTCTTCTTTTTCAATGGAAATTTCAACTGTGTAGAAGAAAAATATTTGCTATGCATTTCTGATGAGTAGTTTTCTTAATTTCGGGAGATAATTAGAGGGATAAAGACTGAAGAACATGTTGATTATTAGTCAGATGTACCAAACACTTGATGCATGTGAACCTTCAAATTCATTAAAATCTTTAATAGGATGTATAGATAAAAGCAATTGCTGTGAGGATTGTACTGGAGACGATATTCAAGCTATTTATCTTATCTAGTAACCACAGGTTGCAAATTAGGTTTCGTGTTTTGTTCTTTATATGGGTGTGTTTACCTTTTGACATCAAGATTAAAATTACATCAACCATGTTTCTGAAAAAATTCTGTGTTTAATAAGTACATGTAAAACCACAAACAAAACTCAGTCAAGCTTCAAACCCTACCAAAATGTGTATTTGATAAGGATAACAAAAGCTTTCCTTTCAGAATGCAAAGGAACGGATGAACTAAACCTCTTAAGTTATGGCATGGATTGCACTTGCAATCCTGGTCCACATATCAGCACACTCCTCTCCAACTGGACTGGTGATTGCCAAGCCTTTAATTTCTCCTTTGGGATTCATAATCTGCCCCAATGACAGCAGGCATGATCTTACTGAGATCTGCCTTCTCTGTCTTGGCAGTGGCCGCGACCATATCCCCAGCACAAGCAGATGGGAAGCAGTGCAAGCTACCCTTATTTCCCTTAACTAAGATGGTGCAAAGGTTATTAGCACAATTCCGCCACCTAGTGCTCCCCTGCAAAGAGAGTTTCAGGATATTGTGCTTAGCACTTGTAGACTCCATATCTTCAAAGATGAACTGTATTTCCTTCAAGTACTGTAAATAGTAGCTCGTGAAAATAGTCCACTAGAAGTCATGACCCCTTCTATAGCTTGCTTGGAAAAGTTAAATCGTGAACCTTAAGTATTATAGCCAAGTAATCTGATAATTGGTGCATAATTTACCATGTGTCTTATGTTTAATGTGTCCATATGTAGATGTGTGTATGCTTGATCACTATTCCACAGCTATTAGCATGTATTAAGATTTTTCACTTGTTGGCATTTTAGCACTATGGATGTTTCTATTATGCAAATTGTTTGGTTAGAACTCTTCTTGTTTTTACAGATAAATGCCTTGTGCATGGCATTCTATGCTCGATCTGAAGAGGCTCGTCAGATACACTCTGTTCACAAGCTTGCTCTAGTAATGATTTCTTGTTCTTTTGCTTCCCCTTTTTTTTTTTTTAGGATACTAATTCTCTCTCTTTGATGTGTGTGCGGTCATTTGTTCGTGTTATCCTTGTGCATTTCTGATATCAATGTTTACCTAGTTAGCAAACTGAGGTACTACATTCACATGTTACAGGGAGCGCTTGCATTAGAAGATGCACTTTCCAAAGGACTACCAGTTCAGAAAGAGCTAGATGCTTTAAACACCTATCTTGATGGCATTGATAAAGACTCACTTTTACATCTGGTTCTATCAACCCTTCCTGAAGAAACAAGGCACCATGGTACTGATACTTTATTGGAATTGAATCAGAAGGCAAGTCATTTGTTGGTCCATTTGTTAATATGTGCTAGTAAATGGTGTAATCTAGTTATGCAGATTGAATGATGTCATTTCATGACCTTTTATCCTTGTTGAACTTAGGTTTACAACCAAAATCATCGGTGGATTAGAAATTGCATGCCATTCTGCTTATAATAACTTCATTTTATAGCTATTTAATTCCTAATATGTTGTCCGATATGACAATTTTAACTCACACTGTTATGATGATGGTGCTTGAATGTCTTTGCTTTTTCTCTATAGAGAGCCCTAATGTCTCCGAAGCTGGCAATTCAGCCAATCTGAGGTGTTTCTGTTTTTTTTTTTCCTCCCCTAAGATCCTTATCAATCTTCATTTTCTTACAGTTCAATTTCATGAAAGGGAATCTACGACATTATAGTTTGATCCCACCAGGCGGTGGTGGCATCTTGGCTCATGCTTTGGCACATATTGCGTCCTGGTTGAGGGTAGGCAAATATGAGATCTACCTTAGAAATTTCTATTGTATTTATCACATACTACTACTATTCATGAACTGTCTTCCTCTATCCAACTAACTTGGAATTTGTCTTTGGTACAGTTTAAAGAAGTTGATCCCTCTGGTGAAGGTATTGAATCTATTATTAGTAGAGTCGAGGGTTTCCTTGCTGAAGGAAAGCTAGCTGAAGCAGCAGATGCTCTCCAAAACGGTGTGCAAGGCAGCCAGGCAGAAGAGATAGCTGGTGATTGGGTGAGGCAAGCCAGGAATAGAGCTATCACAGAGCAAGCTCTAACTGTAATTCAGTCGTATGCTACTTGCATCAGCCTTACTCAATGATGCAATATTTTTGTCTTTTCCAAATCCTTAGGGACATCAGAAGCGAGAGAATGACTGTCCTACGAAGCAGCTTAAATTTAGAAGAGCTTTACAAGGGTTGTGACTTGAGACCCAAAATTGTGTAGATCCATACCCCCCATGAATAAAATTTTGTTTTTCGCCCGGGAACACTGTTGGTTTTCTAACGCAGTATGTGTCTACGACCATGTAATAAACAATTTGTAAGGGATAACAACCCGATCAAGAACAGCTGACAAGGGGCTGGATGTGTCATGACAGGTTAAACCCAGATACTTGTGGGCAGTCGCTGTCGAGCTTGATTAGAGTGTGGCTACAAGGACAAGTTGGCTGATTCTTTCGAAAAAAGTACAAACAAAAGTGTATTTGCTCCTTTCATTCCAGGGACAAAATAGAGTAACATTTTTTAATTGTTTAATAAGTTTCTGAATGCATGATCCCCCTCCAAGTCCATGTGCTAGAAAGATTCTGACAAGTGGCTCCAAGGAAACTAAAATTTCAAGTCTGAAATTCTCTCCCGTTATGTGTTTTGTTTTACCGCGTGTAATCTGTCCGATCAGGTGAGATTTCTTTCTCCCTGATGTAAGATTTGAATCCTAATAGCTAATAGGGAAAGTATACTCTTTCAGTGGTCTCAAGTTGATGCAATTTCTATTTGTTATAAAAGAGATACAGATAAACTATGATTGTTAAATCCAGCATAGTCGAGAAAGGTAAAATCCTTATCTAATGGAATCGTACCAGTTGGGAATTGGAGACGTTTAGCAACAGAAATTAACAAGCCATTGTAATCTGGGAATTGGTCTGTCTGCTTCAATAACCCAACCTTCCCAGAGACACGTATGAATTGAGTTTAGAAAACTTTTTCATGATTGCAATTAGTTGAGTCATTGCTATCCTTTTAGACAAAAAAGGTTTATTAAAAATTTTTTTAAGTCAGGTAAAAAAGAAAAAAGGAGTGTACAAGCAGTATGATCAGATCTTATGAAACTTAACTACTTCAGTATTTTTGAACTGTTGGTTCTATTAAGGTGGTTGTTTTTCTCATTTTCATTCCAGATTAGAATCCAATGAAAAGTTTTGAGATATATATATATATATATGTTTTTTCCATTAGTCCATTAAGATGATGGAAACATCCAGATATAAGGGAAAAAAAAATATTTATCGTATATAGTTCAAAATTCAATCAATCCCTGATTAAAAAAGAAGAAGAAGCAAGTATGCTTTCTTTTTCTTTTTTAAAAGCATAGTACCATTGTGATTTTTGATAGTAACAGAAATGAAAAAAAAGAAAAAAGTGAAAGAAAAAATTGGACAGCTAATATTGCCTTATAAAATATCCTGAATGGTCATTTTTAGATTCAATAGTAAAAATATTTTCAGATCATTATCTTTTGAGAGTAATTTGTTTTTAGACGTGATTAAAAGACACTTTCTAATATATTGTTTTGAGTCTTCTAAAAATAAATTTTTAAAAATATTAGATCATAAAAATTGAATGTTGAATTTAACTTATAAGTTTGATGTTTACTTACTAACCAACTACCACTGGTAAAGTAACTACATGCAAATTCCTCATGGATTGTTCTAAATTTGGAACTTGCAAGTAGATCTGTCTTTCTTGTTTCCTCCATTATCATCTATATATATACGGGTATAAAAGTGGGGGACAGCTTGAATGTTCGGTTCTTTAGATGTTATGAAATGGCACATGAAGAAATCTGCTCTGCTAACTAACAGAAGCCAGTAATTATAAATACTTAAATCGTTTGACAAATAATAATATTATGTTATTCCAATCTTTTTTTTTTTCCTAATTTCTCGTTTTTCTGAGAGTTAATATTCCCTATCATAAGTGGTGAGAAATCAACTTCCATGTAATGACTTGATTTTTTTTGTCAAATAAAAAATGAAGAACTTGGGACCCAGCTCCCTTTGAGGGGCTCTACGACTCAACAAATTGCAGCTCAGATTTTCATGTTGCAGCCGCAGCAAGTAAAACGAAAGTCTTTCAATGGCTGGTGTTCAGTCCCAATCATTTTCTTCCTTCCCTACATCCAACCCTTGACAACAAAGGAAAAAAATCACTAAAATTTGCATCAATTTTCAATATTTTTAGGAGGTATACAAGATCGGTGTAATAATTTCTCACAAAAAAATAATTTTCAATATTTTAGGAGATATACAAAATTTGTGAAATAATTTCTTACAAAAAAAAATGATTTTCGATAAATAAAATATTAGATGAACATAGTTCACTATTTCAGATCATAGACCAACCAACAATGAAATAAATATAGCCCTATTTAGTCACATAATGAATTTTAAAGTGATTTATTTTTTTAACCAATGATTTACAATTGTGATTAGGAGAGTTATTTATGTTCAAATTTCCCTACAAGAAACTATAAGAACAAAGAAAAATTAAGTTGGTTAGAAAAAAATTCTAAGATTTACGTATGGCACCAACGTCATTTTCCGACGACTAACTGATTGGTTTTAGTTAGCACCAACAGGATGGTTAAGCAATTATTAAATTACAAAATCATCCTCATTAGGTGTATCTTTCTGTCCAGAATGCTTCATTGCCTTCCACCCAATAAAAAAATTCAATATTATTTTCTGCCAGCCAACTGAGAGAGAGAGAGAGAGAGAGAGAGAGAGGTGGGCTGGTTTTGATAGTTTTCCAGTTTTTGGCTTGGCTTGGCTAGGCTGAGATTGCTTTTCTTGTCATTTTCTTGACCCTGTAATTTACTTTTTCAATTTTAAAAAGTCAAGAAGATTCTAATGGAAAATGTAAGACCAGCAGCCTGTTTTGGAATTACTGGCAGCCAGTCTCGTGTTATGGGAATGACCACCGGTGAAACTATGGAATATGGAAATTAACAGATGGGTAATTTGCAAGATCAATTATGGCGCACGTGATAAAATTAATTATGATCTATTTGATACATATATATTATAAATATAATTAATTATAATATAATATTTAATTAATTATAATACATGTAATTAATAATGATACATATATCTAATTAATAACAATACATTTATAAATCTTAACGTAAGCCTTGAGTTAAAACTATATAAAAAAAAAGAATTTGGTTTTCTCTTTACCTCTTAATAAAAAAATAAAAATCAATGAAAAAGAAAAATAAATTGTTCTCCATCTAAGCTTTTCAGTATTAAAAATATGAATTAAAATATATCTTTAAAAAATATTTTTTAAATTATGTAAAAAATATGAAGTTTTAAGATTTATGATTATATTAAATTTATGTTTTTATTCATATGCATAATTGTAATAAGTGATTATAGTTTATATGATCTGAACATGGAGAAAACTTCATTTATTATTCTATCTCTTTCATGTAATCAAGGGTATGAATTAATTTATAAACATAATTCATTAAGCAAATCTAATCAAGAAGCAAATCAATCTTGCATCACATAAATTTAAATTTGTTTAAAATTGATATTATGATTAAATTTTTTAATTGATTAAAATCAAACCCGATTGATAAAGAATCAATTCAACCTAATTAATCAAATAAATCGATTCAAATCCTCAATTACATAATTTTTTTTTACTTCAATCATTTTAACTCTTTACTCGAAGATGGTCATTAATAATACTGTTAATAATTAAAATTTACTGAACTCGTGATGCATCTTAAATAAATTATAATTATATATTTGTTGTTTTTTTCTTTTTTAACCAAAAAAAGCTTTAAGAAACAAAATTAACATTTCTATTTCCATAAATTAGAAACAAAAATAAATAAATAAAAAATTAAAAACCGTAAATGACACAAATCACCTCCTAACAATTTGACTATTTATTTCATAGCACCTTGTTCCCTTGCCTTGTAAAAAGTAACAAAAAAACTGCTCCCGTACCAGACAACCTTAGGAACGTTAGCCCAAAAAACCCGAAATCCGAAGCCGAGCCAAGCCGCAAAGCAAATGGTAAAATCCAGGCAAGCTTGAAGCTGTCGGTGGTCACTCCCTCTCAACCTAACTGAAATCACACTCACACGCAGAGAGAAGCCAGCCAACTGCGAACTTCCTTACACTCTGTTCTCTCTCTGTAAAAAACCAAAAAAGAATCAAAAGAAAACCAAAAATACACAATTATTTATTTTTCTCATAAAAAATATAACTGAAAATACTTTATTTTTTCTTTCTCTCTCTCACACTCAAAATGCAATGAAATGAATTGCCTTTTTATTATCTTCCCTTCTCTTCTACGATATCCTCAGTTGCTCCTCCTCCTCCATCTCCTTTTCATTTTTCCACATTTCTCTCCTCCTCTAGAGGTGAGTCGTGACTCACGAGTGACCGACCGACTGAATTCTTTCTTTGTTGCTACTATATTTTCTCATGCTTTCTTTCTTTCTTTATTTGTCTCCATTGATGACTACTCGTCGACGTTTATTTGAAAAAAATCCCATAGAAACTAGAGGTGCTGCTGTTTGATTCATTGTTACTTCTTTTTCGTTGAAAATTCATTCTGTTTGGTTACTGATAGAGAAAGTCAGTCCAATTCAGAATTTTGAATCACGTTGTAATAAACGACGGCGTTTGGAGTTGAAAATGGAGTTAATTGATCTGTTTTTAGAATTGAATTCAAGTTTAATGAAGCAACTGAACTCAGTCAAATCGTCACATTCTGATTAATTAAAATTAAAATCAGTTTGACTTCGTGTAAGTAGCAGCATTAGTTGCGCTGACTGACTGATCTGATTGATGTTTTGCAGGGGAGTTTGATGCATTGATTGCGTAAATAAGCTAGATCTGGAGACAGATTGATTCTTTTGCTGATTTTGAAGTGATAAAGGCAAAGATGGCGGCCACACTTGCTTGGAGGTTATCTGCTACCAATGGCAGCAGCCTTGCCACTACTGATCTGGTAAATTCATTATTCAGTATATTGGATTCTGAGAATAATTCTAAGATATTCGATGTAATTTTTATTGAATTGATGTGCGAGGCACTGGATCTCATTCATACTCTTACATGATATGTATATACTGTTTTGTGTTTGATTCGGTTCATTGTGGTTTAAATCTATGGTGTTTCTGATTTCTGTTTTTGTTTTAGAAATGCGGTTCCTTAAATGATCAGAAGATCAAAGGAAATGTATCGGTCTCTAGTTTCAAATCTCAAAATATATTAAATGACACTCTTGTTTCACGATTGCAGGAAAAAAATGGTGATAAAAAAATTCAAGATTCAGAGCCTCCAACTCCCCACTCAGTTATGAAGATGGGTGTGAGGTGAGTTCAGAATTAATTCATGCGGTTGACAAGGCCGATAACTTGTTGTGGTTACTTGTATATTTTGAAGGGCGGTTGCTTTTGCCAATGCTTTTAATATTTACCGTGGGCATATGCTATATCCTTTGGTGAATAATTTTTGTACAGTATTGAGCAGCACTATAGGTGCCTCTTTTTTTAAGGAAATGCTTTGTACTGATGTAATACTTTTGTTTAGATCAGATTCGAGGGTGTGTGTTTCCAAAATGTCTTAAAAGGAACCAAGGACCTGCTTGTTGCTTGTATCTGCTTTTTGTTGTTGAATACACATGCTTTGCATTGAGTGAAAGTGATCTCTGGATACCCTAAAAAAATAATCAATAACCTTCTAGCTTTTTATTTCTGAATTGATTTTGAATTTGGTGAATTATAAAATTCTAGACATGTTTCCACCATTCCTAGATTGATTTTGGACACACTTCCTTTGAATCTGAAAAATGGCATATATAATGTGGGTAAAAATTTTTTTAGAGGAATTTCAGCTAATAATTCTGGTTTCCAGATGCTTTTTTCTATTCAGAAGGAAAGGGAAGCTCTCCTTTTGCAATCATTGGATGTAATGAACTGGTATAGAGCTTTGTGCCATTAAGAGCAACCCACAGTCTTTCTATAAGAATGACTTCTCTAACTGATTCCATATCTGTGTTTATATTATAGTTCAACATATTTTATTCATGTCATCTTATTCCAGATTTCTGTTTCCCTCGACGTTTTACTTTACTAGTGCTATCAACTTAAATTATCTCCTCTTTTGTTTTTGTGCTGGTTCTCTCTTCTGAAAATATTAATGACTGCATTTCCTTTTATAAGTTTTCGCTAGTAATAGCTGTTTTCCATAAAATGAGGTCAGCAAAGAGGAAGTTTCTCACAATGCCTAATAGCAATGAAAATTGTTGCTCACTTTTCTTACTTTCCTAAATTATTTTCAGAGACCGTACCAGTAGCATGGAGGATCCAGATGGCACGCTAGCAAGTGTTGCACAATGCATTGAGCAACTGCGCCAGAGTTCCTCCTCTGTACAAGAGAAAGAGTATGCATTGAGACAGTTACGAGAACTTGTTGAGACACGTGAAAATGCGTTCAGTGCTGTTGGATCTCACTCCCAAGCAGTTCCTGTGCTTGTTTCTCTTCTCCGGTCAGGATCATTGGGAGTGAAAATACAGGCTGCTACTGTTCTAGGTTCTCTCTGTAAGGAGAATGAACTAAGGGTAAAAGTCTTACTTGGAGGATGCATCCCACCATTGCTTGGTCTCCTCAAGTCCAGCTCTGCAGAAGGTCAAATTGCTGCAGCAAAGACAATATATGCTGTTTCTCAGGGTGGTGCTAAGGATCATGTTGGATCAAAAATTTTTTCAACTGAAGGAGTTGTGCCCGTGCTCTGGGAGTTGCTTCGAAATGGGCTCAAGACAGGCAACTTAGTGGATAACTTGTTGACTGGAGCTTTAAAAAACCTCTCCAGCAGCACTGAGGGATTTTGGTCTGCTACAATACAAGCTGGAGGAGTGGATATACTGGTGAAGTTGCTCACAACAGGGCAGTCAGACACACAAGCTAACATCTGCTATCTTCTTGCATGCATGATGATGGAAGATGCATCTGTTTGTTCCAAGGTATTGGCTGCAGAGGCTACTAAACAGCTGCTCAAGCTGTTAGGACCAGGCAATGAAGCCTCCGTTAGAGCAGAAGCTGCAGGTGCCCTTAAGTCTCTTTCTGCACAGTGCAAAGATGCAAGACAAGAGATAGCTAAATCTAATGGTATTCCTGCACTGATAAATGCTACAATTGCTCCTTCAAAAGAATTCATGCAGGGGGAGTATGCCCAAGCATTACAGGAGAATGCAATGTGTGCTCTTGCAAATATTTCTGGTGGCTTGTCATTTGTCATCTCAAGCCTTGGTCAAAGCCTTGAATCATGCTCGTCTCCTGCCCAGACTGCTGACACTTTAGGAGCTTTGGCTTCGGCTCTGATGATATATGATAGCAAAGCTGAATTCACTAGGGCATCAGATCCTGTGGCTATTGAGCAGACTTTAGTCAATCAGTTCAAGCCTCGGTTACCATTTCTTGTGCAAGAACGTACCATAGAAGCATTAGCTAGTTTGTATGGGAATGCCATACTCTCAGTTAAACTTGCGAATTCTGAAGCAAAACGGTTGCTTGTCGGTTTGATTACGATGGCAACGAATGAAGTTCAGGATGAGCTTGTGAGAGCTCTTCTCGCACTTTGCAATAATGAAGGCAGTCTATGGCGTGCACTTCAAGGACGTGAAGGGGTCCAGCTATTGATATCTCTTCTTGGGCTTTCATCAGAACAGCAGCAGGAGTGTGCAGTGGCATTGCTTTGCCTTCTATCAAATGAAAATGACGAAAGCAAGTGGGCCATCACTGCTGCTGGTGGTATACCTCCCCTTGTTCAAATTCTGGAGACAGGATCTGCTAAAGCCAAGGAAGATTCTGCTACAATCCTTAGGAACTTATGCAATCACAGTGAAGATATACGTGCATGCGTTGAAAGTGCTGATGCCGTTCCTGCATTATTATGGCTGCTGAAGAATGGGAGCCCCAATGGGAAAGAAATTGCAGCAAAGACTTTAAATCATTTGATCCATAAATCCGATACAGCTACTATTAGCCAGCTCACTGCTTTGTTAACCAGTGATCTACCTGAATCAAAAGTGTATGTCCTGGATGCTCTAAGAAGTATGCTCTCTGTGGTTCCCTTGAGTGATGTATTAAGGGAGGGCAGTGCTGCAAATGATGCAATTGAGACAATGATTAAGATATTGAGCTCTACTAAAGAAGAGACTCAGGCCAAGTCTGCCTCTGCTTTGGCTGGAATTTTTGAAACCAGAAAGGATTTACGTGAAAGCAGCATTGCTGTTAAAACACTTTGGTCAGTGATGAAGATGCTAAATGTTGAATCTGAAAACATCTTAGCAGAGTCATCTCATTGTCTTGCCTCAGTATTTCTTTCAATTAAAGAGAACCGAGATGTGGCTGCTGTTGCTCGTGATGCATTGTCTCCTTTGATTGCACTTGCTAACTCATCAACTTTGGAAGTAGCTGAACAGGCAACATGTGCTCTTGCAAATCTTATTTTGGATAGTGAAGTTTCAGAAAAAGCAATTCCAAATGAAATTATTGTGCCAGCAACTAGGGTATTGCGTGAAGGCACAATTTCTGGGAAGACCCATGCAGCAGCAGCAATTGCTCGTCTCCTTCATTCTCGTAGAATTGATAATTTGATAACTGATTGTGTCAATCGTGCAGGAACAGTACTTGCATTAGTTTCTTTTCTAGAATCTGCTATTGGTGGATCTGTTGCCATATCAGAGGCACTAGCTGCACTTGCTATTCTGTCAAGGTCAGAAGGGACCAATGGACACATCAAACCAGCGTGGGCAGTTTTAGCTGAATTTCCAAAACGCACAACCCCAATAGTTTCATCGATTGCAGATGCAACACCCTTGTTGCAGGATAAGGCTATTGAAATATTGTCACGACTTTGCCGAGATCAGCCTTTTGTTTTAGGAGAGGCAGTTGCTAGTGCCTCTGGATGTATACCTTCAGTGGCTAGGAGGGTGATCAATTCCACGAACCCAAAGGTTAAAATTGGGGGAGCTGCACTTCTTATTTGTGCTGCGAAAGTTAGTCACCAAAGAGTGGTGGAAGATCTTAACCAATCAAATTCATGTAGTCACCTTATTCAATCACTTGTCACAATGCTTTGTTCTGCAGATGCTTCTCCTTCAGGAGATCTGGTTGATGATGACAAGGAGGCCATTAGCATCCAGAGACATGATAAAGAAGGTGAGAATGGCGAATCACATAAAGGAACTGCAGTAATTTATGGTTATAACTTAGCTGTTTGGCTACTTTCGGTTCTTGCCTGCCACGATGAGAAAAGTAAAGTTGTTATAATGGAGGCTGGGGCAGTTGAAGTCCTCACCGACAGAATCTCCAGTTGTTTTTTGCAGTACAGTCAGGTAAAACCTTTTCTTTCGTTTCCCCCTTGAACTGAAGGTATTCTAGTGTCTGTGTCATAAACTCTCAATATCAATTAAAATCCCGATTTCTCTTGGAGTAATGCTGCAAATGAGCCAAGCCAAGCTTTGATATATTTAGAGTTCATCTAATTTTTGGGAAGTTCAAACTTGGCTTGTGTTTGCAGCGAGCCTAAGACATGAAGCACAAGCTCCTTTCCTTGGGCTGGTTTGAATTTGACATTAGATTGATAAATAAGCAAGTAAACAAGCTAATCTTGACTTTTGGATACATCATGACAAATCATTCAATCATTTAGCTAATCTAAAATTTGCTTATTGCACACAAGCTTGTTTATGAATTTCAATGAATCTAGACTCAAGCCTTTAAATGATGTGGCCCCATAAACTTAGGTAAGCTATCTCATGATTGTGAATAAGCCAAGCTTGATCTAATTCAAATGTGGCTGTATTAACTTGAGGTTTCAAAATAAGCTCGAGCTTGACTCATTAATTTTGATGAATGAGCTTGAACGACCCTATAAAGAGCTAAGCTTCAAGAGGGTTTGCTCATTTGCTTCCCTTGTCTGGACTCTGGAGGTAGAGGAATTATGAGATTTACATGAAAGAAAGCACAAAAATTAATCACATTTCACATGCCATGCAGCAGAGAAATCTATTCTACATTCTGATTGTCATTAACCTTTGTTGCTTCTCTATGTTCACCTGTGCAGAGTGATTTTAGTGAAGACAGCAGCATATGGATTTGTGCTCTACTGCTAGCAATTCTGTTTCAAGATAGAGACATCATACGTGCGCATGCAACCATGAAATCTATACCAGTACTTGCAAATTTGTTGAAGTCAGAGGAGTCTGCAAACAGATATTTTGCTGCACAGGCAATAGCCAGCCTGGTGTGTAACGGTAGTAGGGGAACTCTTCTGTCTGTTGCAAATTCTGGGGCAGCAGGTGGTCTTATATCCTTACTTGGCTGTGCTGATGGTGACATATCTGATCTTCTGGAATTGTCCGAGGAGTTTGCATTGGTGTGTTATCCAGACCAAGTTGGCCTTGAGAGGTTATTCAGGGTTGAAGACATTAGAGTTGGTGCTACATCTCGCAAAGCAATACCTGCTCTTGTTGATCTACTCAAACCAATTCCAGATCGTCCTGGGGCACCTTTTCTAGCATTAGGACTTCTAAATCAGCTTGCAAAAGACTGCCCACCAAATAAGACTGTTATGGTTGAATCAGGGGTTCTGGAGGCCCTGACTAAGTATCTTTCACTTGGCCCGCAAGATGCAACTGAGGAAGCTGCCACTGATCTGTTAGGGATCCTATTTAACAGTGCTGAAATTCGGAGACATGAAGCTGCATTCGGTGCTGTGAGTCAACTTGTTGCTGTCCTCCGCTTGGGTGGAAGACCTGCAAGGTATAGTGCTGCTGTAGCATTGGAAAGCTTGTTTTCTGCTGATCATATCAGGAATGCAGACACTTCCCGACAAGCTGTCCAACCTTTGGTGGAAATTCTTAACACTGGTCTAGAGAAAGAGCAGCATGCTGCTATAGCTGCATTGGTTAGGCTATTGAGTGAAAACCCATCAAGAGCACTTGCAGTTGCAGATGTTGAAATGAACGCAGTGGATGTACTTTGCAGGATTCTCTCATCAAATTGTTCAATGGAGCTGAAGGGGGATGCTGCGGAGTTGTGTGGTGTCTTGTTTGGAAATACAAGAATCAGGTCTACCATGGCTGCAGCTCGCTGTGTTGAGCCTCTTGTCTCTCTCCTTGTAACTGAGTTCAGTCCTGCCCAGCATTCAGTTGTCTGTGCATTGGATAAACTTGTTGATGATGAGCAACTGGCAGAACTAGTTGCTGCACATGGGGCAGTTATTCCTCTTGTTGGCCTTCTCTATGGTAGGAATTACATGCTTCATGAGGCTATCTCCAGGGCACTCGTGAAGTTGGGGAAAGACAGGCCTGCTTGTAAAATGGAAATGGTAAAAGCTGGAGTAATTGAAAGTGTACTTGATATCCTCCATGAAGCACCAGATTTTCTCTGTGCAGCATTTGCAGAATTGCTCAGAATATTGACCAATAATGCTAGCATTGCCAAGGGGCCTTCTGCTGCAAAAGTTGTTGAGCCCCTTTTCCTGCTGCTGACAAGACCAGAATTTGGGCCTGATGGACAACATAGTGCTTTACAGGTTCTAGTTAATATTCTGGAACATCCACAGTGCCGTGCAGATTATACCCTCACCTCTCGCCAAACTATCGAGCCACTTATCCCTTTGCTTGATTCTTCAGCTCCAGCAGTGCAACAGCTGGCTGCTGAGCTCCTCTCTCATCTGCTCATGGAAGAACATCTTCAGAAGGATCCAGTGACACAGCAGGTAATTGGTCCCCTTATAAGGGTTCTTGGTTCTGGCATACACATCTTGCAGCAGAGAGCTGTAAAGGCTCTTGTTAGTATTGCACTATTATGGCCAAATGAAATTGCAAAAGAGGGTGGTGTGAGCGAGTTATCTAAAGTTATATTGCAAGCTGATCCTTCTCTTCCTCATGCCTTGTGGGAATCTGCTGCTTCTGTTTTGGCTAGCATTTTACAGTTTAGTTCTGAATTTTATTTGGAAGTGCCTGTAGCTGTGTTGGTAAGGTTGCTCCGTTCTGGCTTAGAAAGCACAGTGGTTGGTGCATTGAATGCTCTTTTGGTGTTAGAAAGCGATGATGGAACTAGTGCTGAAGCTATGGCTGAAAGTGGTGCCATCGAGGCTCTTTTGGAACTTCTCAGAAGCCATCAGTGTGAGGAAACAGCTGCAAGGTTGCTGGAAGTATTACTCAACAACGTGAAAATCAGGGAATCAAAAGCTACTAAATCTGCAATCTTACCATTATCGCAATATCTCTTGGATCCCCAAACTCAAGCACAACAGGCAAGATTACTGGCAACTTTGGCACTTGGTGATCTATTCCAGAATGAGGGCCTGGCTCGAAGTACCGATGCTGTTTCAGCATGTCGTGCTCTAGTCAATGTGCTTGAAGAGCAACCTACGGAAGAAATGAAAGTAGTAGCAATATGCACTTTGCAAAACCTGGTCATGTATAGCCGATCCAATAAAAGAGCTGTTGCCGAGGCTGGTGGTGTTCAAGTTGTGTTGGATCTAATTGGTTCAAGTGATCCAGATACATCTGTCCAGGCTGCAATGTTTGTCAAACTTCTCTTCTCCAATCACACCATTCAAGAGTATGCTTCCAGTGAAACAGTCAGAGCCATAACTGGTAAGCTTCTCTTCTCCCTGTGTGCAGTTTGTCTAGTTTTAGCAGATATGAGGAGAACATGCCTATTGTTTATGATGGCATTTTTCTTTGTAGTATTACAGTGGTTTGTAGTTTGGAATGTTATTCTAAGATTTAGTTAACACAATCTCTGAGAAAGCTCTTATATGACTTTCTTTCATGCCAAGTTCAGAGCTTAGTTTAAGTAAACAAAAATCAAATAGATCTTCTCAGAAAAGTAAAAGCAGATGCAGAATTTGAATAGGAGTGTATGGGATCTAATTGGCTCAAATGAATTGGCTTTCTAGTTCGTATTTTAACTCATGTTGAAACAGAGCAGACATTTATGAGCTAACTTGTCAACTCTTACAGTAACAGCTGATAGATCACATGTAAAGTTAAATCAGATTGTGTAACTGCTTACTATTCTCATACCTTTAAGCAAAATAATAGTAACATTCTGATTGTTACTTAAACAATGTTGAACTAGGGGAGATGAATGCTAGCTTCCGTGCATTGGTGAAAATATTTCCCTATGTAGTAACTATTTCCTTATTCTAGCAACACAGGCATTTATTGTTCTTTTCTTGAAAGACATGATAAGCAGTTGAGTGGTGGAGCAACCCTGGCTAGTGGCTAGGATCGTTGGTATTTGGAAATTAGTTTATTTAATTGACTTGACGATTGGGTCTATCTTACTTTTCCTATCAATTGCTACTCAGGTAATTTTTTTTTCACTCTTAGCTAAATAACTTTCTGTTTGGTGATGCAGCTGCTATTGAAAAGGATTTATGGGCCACTGGGACTGTGAACGAGGAGTATCTCAAAGCTCTAAATTCCCTTTTTAGTAACTTTCCAAGGTTGAGAGCCACCGAACCTGCAACACTCAGTATACCCCATCTGGTTACATCTCTAAAGACAGGATCAGAAGCAACTCAAGAGGCTGCCTTGGATGCACTTTTTCTTCTTAGGCAAGCTTGGTCAGCATGCCCAGCTGAAGTTTCCAGAGCTCAATCTATTGCTGCTGCGGATGCAATCCCCTTGTTGCAATACTTGATTCAGTCTGGCCCACCTCGATTTCAGGAGAAGGCTGAATTTCTGCTGCAGTGTTTGCCAGGGACATTGGTGGTTATCATCAAGCGTGGAAACAATATGAAGCAGTCAGTGGGGAACCCGAGTGTTTATTGCAAGATTACTCTTGGAAGTACTCCACCTAGGCAAACAAAGGTAAAATGCATCTATAATCTTGTTTATTGTTTCAAAATGTTTATTTCTTCAACTTTAAGTTATTTTCGAGGAAAAAATAAAATAAAAATAAAAGGTAGTTTACATCATTGGATTATCCAATTCATTTATTCCAGCTAGTGGTGTGCACTGTTCGGTTTGAACCGAAAAAACTGAACTGAACCGCCATAATTCAGTTCTTTTGGTTTTTGGTTTGTGCAGTTAAGTAATCAGTTTTCATTTTGGGTCAGTTTGAATACCAAACAAACTGAAAATTTGCAAACTAGAAATTTGTTTTTGAGAAGAATTGAAAACCAAAATATTTTGGTTTGGTTTGGTTCTGTTTTTTCAAAAATCGAACCGAACAAACCATTTTTCTCACCCCTAATTCCAACCATCTTTTGGCACTCAACTCACTACTGTTAATGTTAAAAAAAAAAAAAAAAACAGAAGAAAGAAATCCCTGTAGCTGCTGTTTTCCCCTACTTTTTGTGTTTTTTTTTCCCTAGATATTGCTATTTCAACTTCTCAAAATTAAAAATTATATGTGAACTTTTCAGGTTGTGTCAACTGGTCCCAATCCAGAGTTTGATGAGAGCTTTTCATGGTCCTTTGAGAGTCCTCCAAAGGGCCAAAAGCTTCATATCTCTTGCAAAAATAAGAGCAAAATGGGGAAGGTAATTGAACTAATTTTTGTTTTCTTTTTTTTGAGGAAAAAATAATCCAGAAAGGTTATTTCGATGTTTTCCACCTTTTATTACAGATTATTCTTCGTATGTCATTTAACCTGTTGTGTCTTTTGATCTGACAACAGAGTTCTTTCGGAAAAGTAACAATCCAGATTGATCGAGTAGTAATGCTAGGAGCAGTAGCTGGGGAATACGCTCTGTTGCCACAAAGCAAAAGTGGACCCTCGAGGAATTTGGAAATTGAATTTCAGTGGTCTAACAAGTAATAAACGTTCGTGACGTAACAGTCATTCGGCGCAGATTAAGATTTAATTTAGGGAGAAAATATGTCCAATACAGAATTCTTTGTTTTCTTTGTTTCTTGTCCAATTCGGTTATTTATCCTCATTTCAGTGTAAATAATTTGCCAGAAGAATTTGATTTTTGTAGTTGTTTGCCAAATGCCATAAGATAGCAATTTGTTCAAATGTATTCTTTTGTCATCCGAGTTTCCTATATTTTCTGGGATGAACCATAAGAACAACATTTTAAGTTTTCGTTGTAATTTTGGTTGTTGTGCTTGTCGACCCGAGAGAAAAATGATAATCTTCGTTCTGGTTTCGGATATGAACAACTTTTAGTTATAGTTTTGCTTTATTGTTTGATTATTGTGAAAGACACAGCAAATCATTTTATTAAAGATTTCTCAACAAATTCTGTTCAGAGTTCTTGTCTTTCCCCTCTTCTGTTGCCTTCATCCAGAAATTGCGGTATCTGACTTGTGAGGATGTTTACGATTCCTCGAAAGGAAGGAGAGGAAAATGAGGAAAAAGAAATTGATTAGGGGCGGTAGTAACTAAAGTGCAGATGAATTCTTTACTTTGATTGGAAAAAGTGAGATGATAAATTGGTGAGAAAACGAGGATTTTAGTTGTTTATTATTATTATTATTATTATTATATTGCATTGCGTACCAATGTTTTACACGATCTCACTTCTGTTACATATATCAATGCTTGAGCAAACAAACAAACAACAAATATATATCAGAAAAAACACAAAATGGTTATTGATAGCTCATAACCATATGTATTTGTAATGTCATTCCACTTCCACAAACATTTAGATATTGGCTCTTTACTGTCTCTTTTTTTGACACTAAAACTTTTTAATAGAATAAACTAATAAGTTTATTAAGATATGCCACTCATGATCGTAACCTCTTGTTGTAAGACGAGCTCTTTGGTGTCACTTACCCTCTTGAACTGGAGTTTTTGTTTGTCAACGTGGTTAACTTATAATACAATTTAGGGATGCTCGTTATCATTGATAATCTTTGTTCTTAATCTTAGTAACAGATCTCTACTTTCTGACAAGGAAATGATTTCAACTGGTTCTTCCGTCCTAGTTCCAAGAAGCATGCCCCTAATTCGATGCAATTCCACCACAACGTTGGTGATATCCATCCTCTCTCTTGGCAATCCTGCAGAATAAGCAACTCCTACCTTGATAATTGAAATAAAATATTCCATAAATTTTGTGACTTTCAATGTGGTTCATCCAATCAAAGGCATCAGCTGTTTCTTCTTCATGTTCTTTTGATGTTGGACCCACAACTTCCAATACAATGTCAGGAAAACATCAATTTAGCATAATTGTGAAGGTTTTAACCCATCTTTATGTCAGATTATCCTAAATCGATAACGAAAAAACGTTGAGTGTTTGGCTATAAGCATGAAAGGCTAGCTTTTGAGATTAAGAAGGTCTAATAGTACTCAACAATAAAAGCTAATGTGTGAATGAGGACATTATTTAGATATATAAGTATGTTAGTTTTTACAAAATTTTATAACTATCTAAAATAACTATTTGTAAAAAACTTTTCATCTAGAATATTAAAAAAACCATTTCAACTAAAAAACTTAACCAATTGGATAAAATCACGTAATATAATTTATATTATTTTTTAATATACTTTTTCAAGTGAAAATTTTTTGAAATTTATACATATCATTTATTTTTTTATTTCATGCTTAATTATTTAATTAAAAGAGAAAATAAGCTTGTTTATGGGCATATCGAAGCTCAAGGACAGCTACCAATGTCATTGGATGCTCTAGTAATTGGAGCAGCCACTCTAGATAGAAAAATGATAAAAAAAGATAATTAAGCAGCTACCAAGATGTTAGTACAGTGATCTAATGTATCGTCATTAGATGCTACCTGAGAATTTCTTTTGAACTCGAAAGACGTTTTTCTCATTTTGAACTTGAGGTTTTTCTCCTTTTGAACTTGAGGGTCAAGTCTTTCAAGCAAGGGGTATTGATGTAGATGATAGAATTGGAGATGTTGCAAGGAGGATAGTTGTGGTAGAATTGGAAAAGTTAGAGGACCAATCTGCCAACAAAAGAGACCGATAAAGCCCGCAAAAGGTGCGCGCGCGTGTGAAAGGCACGTGAGAGTTTGTTAATGGTTGCACATGAGGAATTTTGTTAGCTGAGCGGGCAAGACAATTATTTGTTTGTTTTGTTTCTCAACTGGCACTGTATAAATCGAAAGGGGAAAATGTTTAGAATTCATTCTTGGAAAATTGGGTTTCTTCCTCTATGATTTCTCTCTGAATTTCTTGGAATTATTATGTTAAATAATTCTTGTTATTCTCGATTAATTTCTTAATACAATTGCATAGCTTATAACCTTTGCATCTTAATTGAATAAAATCAATTTCAATTCATGGAATTTCTTTAGAATTTGCAATTCAACTTTAGTTCTACTTGCTGGAAATTCTTTAACTGCATCATTATCAAAGCAATTTAGCAAATGTTGTTCAGGAGTTTTGCTTTTCCTTCTTTTATTTGCTGTCTTTTCCTATAAATTACTACTTGTAGTATTTTTAACTACTTCGGATATGTATAATAAAAAATAAAAAATAAAAACTTTTTCAGATATCGAGATAATCTTTGCCTCTAGAGAAATTAGTTTGATGGTAAAAAGCAAACTCATTTAAGTTAAGATTTTTTTAATTCTATAATTGATCTTTGAACAAATAATATATTTTTGTTTAATTAATTTTACTCGTAGAAATATTATAATTTCCAATTTTAATATAAATATAAACACAAAGAAAATGTGTCAAATATACAAAAAAGAGTTTTTTATTTTTTATTTTTTTTAACTTTATGAATTGTGAATGATTTTCCCAAATTCCAAGTTTGAGACACCCACCACTAGACTAGATGATCACAGGATCATCAAACCCTATTAAATAAATAAATTAAAAAAGCATAGGCATTTACGTATCTGGGTTAACTTTAAAGCAAAGATTGAAACACTGACCTACTTATTACTGTTACAGTACATTTTTTCCATCGTTCATCATCGTCATCTATATATATATATATATATAAGTTGATAAATAAATGTTAATTTACGAGTTAGATTCAAGATTCAATTTTTGTGATTAGTATTTTTAAGAATTTATAAGAATTTATTTTTAAAATATTCAAAATTTTAATCCGACCAGGAAAAATGAATTTATTTTTGATATAACAGTACATAAAAATCAAAATACAAAAAGGTCAAAAAAAATAAAAATAAAAAAATACATCAATCATGTTAGTCAGAAGAACAGGCCTCATCAACTTATTTTTTGTTCAAATTTATTACATCGATCCATTCTCTAAGCTCTGGTCTCTATGATTAGTGAATTGTTGTATTCGATAAATCCAAGGGGTTGTGTCTGCCTCGAGACGGTGACATCTGGATTGAGGAGGGACCGTCCCCTTTTCTAGGGAAAATGACAATGAAACTTCGCACCCAAAGCTCACAAAAAATACCCACTCATTTTGACTTTCTCGTGAATCTTGTCTCTCTTTGCTTGCGATGCCTACAGTATGTCTAGGTACAAATAAAAAATTATTAGAAATTTAAGGAATTTCTTGATAATTAGGAAGGTATAAAATATTTATTTTTATACATAAAAAAATCCAAATTAAAAAATGGATAAAGGTTAATTTTACAAGTAACCAGTTATCACTCAATCAATCCCAAGTATTCTAATGCTATCCTTCTTAAATTTTATTATTAAGCTTTAAACATTTTTTTTATAACATTTATTATGCTTTAAAACTTACTTTTGTTAGATTTTTTTTTTTTTAACAAGTATTCCATTTTTTGTTTTAATGCAATCTTTACGTTTGCTTACTTGACAGAAATGAACCTTGCTAATAAACATGAAAATTGTATTAATTAATCGAAATAACACAAATATTTTAGGTGAAATTGAGATAATAAATAAAAATTAGGATGCAAATTGAAATTTAACATTTTTTTTTTGGTCACGTGCATCTTTTCATGTGTATTGCTTGGTTAGAAATGGCATATTGACATGTACATAATTACATATAAATACTAATAACGGTACACACCATAACATACCATACCATACTCATACCATAGGATCCCCTCCCACCCTACAATAGGTAAGTGCGTAATGCGCACACTACAGGCCTGTACCTCCACACTCTCTCTTCTCTCCCTCTTCTACTTCTCACTTCTCAGATATAACCTCAGCCGGACAATAAGTTAATAGCTATCTTTTTTTCTTTACTGAGTGCGCATTTCACCCCTGCGCTCCTTAGCCGAACCCCCTGAAAACCCTAGATCTCTTCAATTTCTCCATGGCTACTCGATTCTTACTGCTAATTCTAGCAATGTCAAGCTTTCTATTTCAAAACACTGTAGAATTAACAACTTTCTCGTCCAGGCTGATACACAGATTATCTGAGGAATATAGGGAAGTTAGGGTTTCAAGGGACGGGCACGTGAATGGCACGTGGTGGCCGGAGAAGAAGAGCAAGGAGTATTACCAGATGCTAGTGACTAGTGACTTCAAGAGGCAGAAATTGAAGCTTGGTCCGCATTTTCAGCTTCTCTTCCCTTCTCAGGGCAGCAAAACGATGTCGCTTGGCAATGACTTCGGATGGTACGGACAAAAATTGAAGCTTGGTCCTTATTTTAGATGATTCTATTCTATTTTTATTTTATTTTTTTGTTATTTTTTGTTGTGTTTTTGTAGGTTGCATTACACGTGGATTGATATAGGGACACCACGTGTGTCGTTTCTAGTGGCTTTGGATTCCGGGAGTGATTTGTTTTGGGTACCTTGTGATTGTGTGCAGTGTGCTCCTTTATCTGCTAGTTACTACAGTAGTCTGGTAAGCCTGAAAATTCTCTTCTTTTTTACTTAAAATTGTCTCAATTGGGTTTTTTTTTTTTTATAATGGTTTTTTGGTAGTTTTAGCTGTTCTTGATGGTGATCTCATTTGGGTTTTACTAATTATGGAAGAGTCTTTGGTCTTTGTAAGATGATGTTGTTTGTTCGCATTTTGGTCCTTGTTAATTGTTAGGAAATGCGATTTGGAGTTTTCTTTTGGTAGCATTCTATGCGTCAGGTAAATGTAGTTTATGATAAGGTTGTTTGTTGGGGTAGTTTTATTTGTGGAAATGCAATTTGGAGTTTTCTTAGAATAAGAAGAAGAAAACGAGGGGGATCATCAATGAAACTGTTAATTTTGTGCTAAGATATGATAACAGGTTTAGCACTTATTTTCCAATGATTGATTGGCAGGTGCTCCCTCGTTTTTGGAGCATCTATTGTGCAGGATAGAGATCTGAATGAATATAGTCCATCTCAGTCAAGCACCAGCAAGCACTTATCTTGCAGTCATCAGTTGTGTAACATGGATCCAAACTGCAAAAGCCCAAAGCAGTCATGCCCTTACACTATTGATTATTATACAGAAAGCACATCCAGTTCTGGATTGCTGGTTGAAGACATACTACATCTTGCATCTGGTGGTGATGACACACTGAATACTTCTGTGAAGGCTCCAGTGATCATAGGGTGTGTGACTTATGCTCTCTTGCCAGATTAGTTTCCTAAAGTTTATGAGTTTGCTATTTTATGTGCAAAGTTTATCAGTATTGCTTAATTAAGGTATTCATTTGTTTTTTTTTATTTTTTTAATTATTTTTCATGTGGTTAATTATTTGTTTGTTTTTGAAGTACAGATGTGGTATGAAGCAAAGTGGTGGCTACTTAGATGGTATTGCCCCTGATGGTCTTTTGGGTTTGGGGCTGCAAGAAATTTCAGTTCCAAGTTTTCTTTCTAAAGCAGGATTAATTCGGAACTCTTTCTCAATGTGCTTTAATGAGGACGATTCTGGGAGAATATTTTTTGGTGATCAGGGACCAGCTGTCCAGCAATCTGCACCATTTCTGAACTTAAATGGGAACTAGTATGGACCATCTTTGTGTCTTTATATGCTTCTGAAAAAGAGGCTAGTCTTTTTGCTAGTGTTTGTTCTCATAAATGCCAAAATTCTCCTCCTTACTATTGTAAACTGATGAACATGATTCAGCACAACCTACTTTGTCGGAGTGGAGGCTTGTTGTGTTGGCACTTCTTGTCTTAAGCGGAGTAACTTCAGCGCATTGGTAGATAGTGGCACATCATTTACATTTCTTCCAGATGATGTTTTTGAAATGATTGCCAAAGAGGTACCATCTCTTAAGTTTTGATGTCGAACTTCATTAAGTACAATGATCATCATTTATTTTAACACAATAGCCTTGTTCGATAGTTTGACACACAAGTGAATGCTTCAAGATCTAGCTTTGAAGGGTATCCTTGGAAGTATTGCTACAAGACCAGGTGAGTCTGCATTAAAAAGAGCTTTGATAGCCTCTTTGATCCAATGCTGATATTTAGACTGGTTTCTGTAATCAGTTCACAGGACTCATCCAAGGTTCCGTCTCTTAGGCTTATGTTCCCTCAGAACAACAGCTTTATGGTCCACAATCCTGTTTTTATGATCTATGGCATTCAGGTGAGACCTATCTGATCGGTGTTGTTAATTGAAGCTTAATTTAATTTGTTATTTTTCTGGTCAATTAATTGACAAAGGTATAACAAGTAAATATGGTAAATTTAGTTTGTTGGAACTTAGGACAAGACAAACCATTAAAGCTTTAAATGACTGGTTTTAGAGTTCCATTTTAAAAGTATGTTGAGCAGATTCATTATACAACTAGGAAATTGCCAGTTTGGTCAAGCATCATCTTTTTTGCTTCAGATATTTTACTGCACCAATAATTCTGTGCTGCCTTCATAACTAAGTGAGAAATAATCTTCCATTTACTTATTCGTATAGAATATTTCTTTTCAGACACGATTAAATGTTTTCTGTTGGTTCTTAATCCCTTGCTGGCTTGACTCTAGTAATATGTTCTTATATTATTCATATCCGCTCAGCTATATCTCAATTCACTAGAAGTTCTTTAGTCCTTAAACTGGGGAAGAAGGATTGCTGGTTGAGATGAAATCTAAATGTGGTGGCGTTGATGGTGCAGGGAGTTATTGGATTTTGTTTGGCCATTCAGCCAACAGATGGGGATATTGGAACAGTTGGACGTAAGTTTGCTTTCATTTTCCCAAGGAAAATTTCACTATTCAATTAAATCCTCAGCTTGCTCTCTGGAAGTCTCTTATATTTGAATGATACTTTATGCAGAAAATTTCATGATGGGATATCGAGTGGTCTTTGATAGGGAAAATTTGAAGTTAGGGTGGTCACGCTCTAATTGTGAGTTCACTGGTCTTTACTATGGTTAGGGATGACGTGATAATACAATATGACTAAATGCCTCCTTGTTTCCATGTTTCATGCCTGGCATATGGGAGCTTTCTTTTTCTTTTTCTTTTGTGGTTAGTGATCGATGCAATATGTGCAGGTGGAGATGAAGCTGATGGTAAGACAATGCCCGTTGCTCCTCCAACTGGGACACCCCAGAATCCATTGCCAACCAATGAGCAGCAGAGCACTCCTGGAGGACATGCTGTGTCACCTGCTGTTGCTGGAAGAGCTCCATCCAAGCCATCATCTGCATCAAGCCAACTAATTTCGACCTGGTTTTGTTTGTTAAAATTGGTGCTGCCACTGTTTCTACTGCATCCAGTTGTTTCAGCTTCATGAGTAAATACTGGCTGTCCTCTGCTAAATAGAGTTCTATTCTTTATATATAGCTCCTAGTGTAAATTAAGTCCTTCCTCTTCTATATGTATACAAGTATGTGTGTATCTGTCCTCTAATCAAATGCCCTCATTTTTTTCCCCTCACATGGTCATTTGGTTGATTGGACATTTAGGACGTATTTTGTTCCCTCTGTTTTATTAATATACATCTTGATTTCGTTTCAGTTTGTGCCTTCCGTTTCTTGCCCACAACTGAGCCCATCCACCTGCTGCATTACTTCTTCTTTTCCTTGAAAATTGCAGAAAATTTGGTAGGCCAATTGCGTGATTAATAAGCAATAAAAAATGGTCATTAACATCCCAGTCATGTCCAAACGGGCTGGGCATAAAATATGGCTATCTGTCAGTAATTGAAACCTAGCCGCAGCCGGAATTTGATTCCCAACTCGTTAGCCAAGGAATGAACTTTGTTTTCTAAAGCCTGCCTTATGCTTATACCAGAAGGTTTTGTTGGTTTCAATCAGAATTGTAATACCTTATTGCAAACTCATGGAATTCCCAACCCAAAATATCATGGGACTGAAGCAGTTCCGTAATTTTAAAATCCTGAAATTGCCCTCTCACCATTTACCTTCGCCCAACCCAAAGTAATCTGTACAAGAAACAAAAAGAACCCTAAATCTCTTTACTCTCACTTGCCATTATTAACCCAGATACATAAAACATGCATTCATTCCCCTCAACATGATAAACCGTCACTACTCACTACACGTTTTGAATAAAATTTTAATTAATTTAATAATTCATTTTGAATTTTAAAATTTAACTTTATATTGAGCTTGTAATAGACTTAAAAAAAAACTATATACATAGGTTTTTTTACTGCAAATTTTCATTTTTACCCTATTGTAACCAATAACTTTAATGTGCAGTGTTTGGTCTTTAAAATAAACACGTTAGTTTTTTTTTCTTTGGTTTGTTTTGGAGAGTAAATTATAAATTAGTCCCTCTAGTTTCAAGAAATAAATAAATTAATTTCTCTTGTTTTCAAAAACTATCATTTAGTTTTTTAATTAGTGTTGATCATGCTTAATTTAATATTATTTTTATTCTATAAAATCTCTTATTTTCTCATCAATCTTTTCATTTTTTTTTCCTTTTTCTACTTCTTAAAAAAATCAAAATAAATGAAAAAGAAACAAAAAAGACTAAATTATAAATAGATTTCATAGCAAGTGATTAAATAATTAGTTTTTGAAATAAGAAGAACTAATTAATTTATTTCTCGAAATGATAGGGACTAATTTATAATTTGCTCAGAGTTTTGGAACCAGCTAATTTGTGTTTTTTTTTTTGTTCTTCTATAGATCCACCTCAATATTCATTACATGCATGCACGTGCGTGCTCATCCAAGTACGTATATCTCTAACTTTCAGCCGGGATCAAATCTATCCACCGTTTTGGGGCAGCCTTTTAATAAATTAATTTTTATTTTTTTTCCCGGATGTATTGGTTGATTTTCTTTTATAGGTAGAGTACTTTCAGTGGGCAATAGGGAAGTTTTTGGACTATACCGTATACTATTATTTAGCATGCATGAACGAGGACAATGAAAGATGAGGGAGAAGGTGGACAATTGCTTGGTTATAATAAGAACGAACCCCATTGGCTTGTGACACATACCCCTTTTCCCTCCATTTCCAAAAGTTTTCCATTTATAATCGAGGAGAAAGATCCAAGAACTAAAAGGAAAAGCACACAAACATATAGATCCAAGCACCATGAAAGAAAAGAAAGGGAAACCATGCGTGCATAGCTTTACTTTCGTAGTCCTTCGTCCTTTAATTAGTGCAGTAGGTTTGCATATTATATGAAATTCAACAGAAAGATCCATATCATCAACCTTTAGACCGAGTGACTAGCTAGCTATAGCTATAGAGTAATGGTATGTGTGTGTGTATATATATATATATGTGAAAAGGTTAGAAGTTTCTAAAAGCAGAAAGCATGATAAATTAATTAGGTGATTAGTGTTGTGTACTTCACCAGTTGAAACCTATTGAAAGTTTCAAGTACAAATTGATCTAAACTAAATATGTAATTAATTAACAATGATTAAATCTTTCGGAAGGTCGGTTGGATAGAACATAAATTAATATGTAAGTAAAATTACGACGAGGGTGGTTAAAATGAAGGATGGATGAGGATGAGAATTTTCTCGCAAATTATCTACCTCTGGCATGAATGACACACATCGATCCTCTTTGGATTTGTGCGTTTTATTGTCGTTTAAAAAAAATAAAAAATAAAAGAAAAAACTAATAGGCATCGTTTCACATGAGGGGTGTTTCAGTGGCAAATTAGCATCACATCTGTCTTTTTTCTATCAGTCTTTATCTGGGTGTTGATACATGCCCAGTAAATTTTCTGTCTTCCCCTTCACACGTGTGTTTCATTTTCGTTAAAAATAAAATAATAAAAAATTCCTAATTTGAAAGCATGCATATTAGCACAAAATGTACATACCATCAAACACTAAAAATAAAAAGGTAATCCTTGAGAAGATTGGTTTGAATAAAAAAAAATTTAATCATATGATTAAATAAATAGTTTCGATTTGTAATTTTTATATATATAATTTTTTTTATAGATAATCGTGCTTATCATTTCTCCGTTATGACCCAGTTTAAGAACAATAAAAGAGGAAAAATAGTTGGCTTGCACCATTTTGATAATATTCACCGAAAAAGAGAGAGATAAAAAGGTCAAAATTTTATACCTTATAGTCATAAAAGGCAACTAATTAACCTTTGCGGTATGATAGTTAGTCCTTTCGACGATTATCTAGTCAAGCTAGTAAATTGGTTAGAGCCCATTTGATAGTATAGATATGGATCACTTAGGCTGTAGAGTTTGTTTTTTAACTGTGGTTATAACCATAAGCTAACACCGATTGTAGCTAATTAGCCATAGCTGAGTAGTGTTTAAGAAAAAATAATTTATTAAAAAAGTTTGGAAATATACAAATTGCAAATAATATGGGATAAAAGAAACTATAAAAACTTAAAAAAAAAGTTTCAAATAAAAAAAAAAGGTTAGCTTTTGAGCTTTCGAATATGATGATGAGACTTAGATAGATTTCACCATCAATACAAACACAAGAACACATATTCGTTTGTTTTTGTTTAGAAACCTTCACTAAGCACGCATGAGCTCCCAACAATTTGACCTAAGGAATTTCCTGAAAATGGCAGAATGATTTTAAAATGAGCTCTTGGCTGATCCGGCTCGGTTCAACAGTCACAATAGTTTCTTGTCTCATTTTTTCACTCCTTATCGAAAAAAGAGATACAGTAAGAGGAAATGCTAAACTAGTCTCTCAACTATAGCTTAATTATATTATAATTGAGTCCTAAAAGAAAATTTTCAATTAATTGTCTAAAATATCCATCATTTCTCAATTATACCCAATTGTCTAAGAATCATTACTAGTCCTCAACGATAGAAGATATGCTCTTCTAAACAGTTTATAACTAAAAAAATTTAAAATCTATATCTACATTTTCATTTCTAAATTAAATGGTTTTTTTTTTAAAAAATTATGCAACGAAATAACTATCTATTGGTTAAGTATTTCGAAAATAAACCTCAGATCCATTTCCCCCGTATATGGGTGACCAATGGGTATTCAAAGTTCAAAAACTTAAGCAAATTTATTATCAAACTATTAGGTTTTAATGAGTCATTCATTCGATTAAAAGAAAACAAAAATGTTTATAATAGCTAACAAGAAAACAACAAAAATAAAACCTATTAAGCAAAATCTAGCTATTACAACACCAAAGTGAAAAAAGTTACTAACTAGGAACCATCAAGGGGTGGCGCAGCGATAAGGACTTGATATCAAGGTGTTTGTCTCCTCTGTGGTCTTGGATTCGAGTCCTTATTGCTTTTCTTGATGGCCGATGGATGCTTACGTGGTCGTTAATTTCAAGATCTATAGAATTAATCGAGGTGCGTATAACTCGACTCGGACACTCGTGTTATCAAGGAAAAAAAAAAAAAGTAATAACTAGGACCACAAAATAAAACTTATTTAATTCAAGGTTTGTTCGGTGTAACTTTTTCATCGTTTTGAAAACTAAAATATTGTGTTCCAGCCCATTGAATCTAGTCTATGGCCATTTTGTACAAACTACGAGATGTTCACTTTGCTTTTTAGGTAAAATCACGAAAGAAGCTAGATCTTATTTTGTAGCTTTATGCAAAGAAAATCATTTGCGTACATACACATAAATCTTCACTGTTTTTGATTACTTGAAATGGGGAAACCACTTCACTCCTTTTGGTTGCATGAAATCAAGAAACCATCTCCCCCATCCACATCATTTTGAAGAGTTTTAACTTTATTTATTAAAGGTTAACAAGAAAAAAGGTATTATTGAAAAAATATATCACGTTCTAGTGATCTAACTGAGAAGTTATTTATTTGAAGACTTAATTATGTCGTGAATTATTAACCAGGGGACTTATTTTTTTTTTTAAAAAAAAAAGAGATATGTACTATTTTGTTTGAAAATCTCTTGAATGGAGCCAAATTATTGATGGCCCATGAGAATTTTGCGGTTTATTTGAAGCAGGTGACATGCAAAGCAAGCAACATCCGCAATCATTGATGGAAAAGTCCAAAAGCCTTAGAGGCTTAGGTGTAGTGGTTTGTCAAAGCCCTATTAGAGGCAAAGCTGCAACTTCATAAAGAGGGTGGGGACGTGGGGAGCTGAGCTAAGACAACTAGGTGACAATAATATCAACCTTGCCAATAATTTAATTCATCGTAAAGAATGAATATGCAGTTTAATACATGAAATAATAAATCAAGGCCGCCCAACTTTAATATATGTACTATGGTTAGGTATACCTTGAAAGTTTTGTACGGATTTGCAGATTGAATTATTCTACCGGTATTGGTTTTTTTCATATATACAATCAGATATTTTTAACATATTTTTTATATTAATTGAGATTAAGTTTATAATTTTTTAAATTATAATTTTTTAAATTAAGTCAATAACAGAATATGTTTAATCTTTAGACAAATCACTAAATTTTTTCTTAACTAAATAAGTTCAAACCCAATAATAATAAAAATATTTATAAATAATTATTCATAAATAATGAGAATTGAACGTTAATATTTGCTAAATTAAGATAATCTTATTATAGCTCGAAAATATTTCTTAATTTTTATTTTATGGTTTTTCTCCGAGTAACTTTTTTTTTCTTTTTTGGCCAATGGACTTTCTTCTTTCTCAATTAAAGGCTCATTCATCCGTATTTTCTAAGATTTGAATTGAAGTTCTATTAAAAATCACAAAATTTTAACAATTAGGGACGTTTGAGCACAAATAATTAGTATTTCCTTTCAAGCCGAGGCATGACTTTACTCTAACTCATATGAACTGTAGTGCATGGTTTCTAATTTGGATTGATGCTTCCTTATATCTTTATATTCTTTTTTTTTTTTTGTGTTTAAAATTTATTATTTTTTGTTTTAATTTCATTTTTGTATATTATATTTTTGTCAATGTTACATGAGGAACAGTTTACATTACTAATGCCATTAAAATTAAACACGTAACGGCGTGAAATTTTTCATTGATACACATTTTCATCCATAAAAAAATTTGGAAAAAATTTACTTTGGTCCCTTTATTTTATTTTTCTCACAATAAATCCTTAATTGACATTTTATTTAGAATCTTTAACTCTAGATCTCATGAATATTTATATAATCATAATAGGTGCCAAATTGCATGGAGAAAATTAGGGAATTATCTTTTTTTACTGTTAATAGTCTCGAATTTTGATTAGGAGATAAGTGTCTCTAATGTTGACGGATTAGATAAAAATAACATTAGAGGTGTACCTTCATTTAATGAATGCATTGTTTCTTCATTTTTGATAAACGAGTGGCATGTGTAAATCTCTCAACTAATAATCGGATGCATTCCAAGTTTTATTAAAGTGTTATCTCATGATAGCACCCTTGATCATCCGTTTAATCGAATTTCATCTCTTTAATTTTTGTTCGAGTGGAGAAAATAGATTGAAAGTGAGCCATAATTTTTCTACATATCACTTTGTCCACTATAAAAAGGGGCTCGAGAAATCACAAACATCCAGTTATATCAATGTTCTTTTTTATTTTTTATTTTTTGATGGTGAGTAGTTCAGGAAAAGGTTGGTAGAGCTACATGAATTTGATAAACAAATTGGTTTGAACAAAATTATAGTGAAATAAATGTATAAATTTTCTGTGCTTGAGAATTTGGAATTGGTCACACAAATATTCTTCACAAAAGGACTAATTACGAATCTAAGGCCACCAAAATTTCGGTTGTTGGGAGACAACACATATGCGCAGGAACCATACGATAGCAGTCCACCTTCGCTTCTCTCTAAATTTGTTACATGCCAAGAAGTTCTTTATGCATATGCTAAATGTTTTTTTTTTTTTTTTAACCCTGAAACTTCAAAGCTAAGGTATGGAGCATGTCAAGAAGCTTCATGTTACATTTGAAATTTGTTTCTGAGAATCTTCACGTTTTGAAATTTGATACCCTTTAGAAGCTTTAAGTTAGGCATGGTTTTCCAGCTGTAGACGCAGCCACCAAAGCAGTCGGTGGTTCTGCAACTTTTGATTCGTGCATAAGTGTCAATTTAAGCCGAGGCAATTCAACTGCCTGGCGCCTGGAATTTGTGGCATCATAAATTCAACTGGAAAGCTAAAAGCATTGTTAGAGCCAGAGATGTTAATCGCGCTCCACAATCTAATACTATTATGTTTTTTAGTAAATCTCGAAAAAACTATCTCACTTAAAAACTTAAGTTTTTAACTGAGATTTCGAATATAATTTATATTATTTTTTAATACATCATTTCAAATAAAAAATTAAAATGATAGTATTTGAACTTACGACTATTTGATCATCAAAGTTTTAATCTCATGTGAGACGATCATCTTATTTAAAAACTTAAGATTTTAGATGAGATCTTAAGATATAATTTATATTATTTTTTAACATAAATAAAAAATTATTTTTATTTATTTATATTTTTTAAAGAGAAATCATGGTCCAAATCAAAATATCTTTGTAATTCATCTTATCTTACACGGAAAGAGCATCCCTTTCTGAACTTGAATATTTGAGATCAGCGTTTGGAGAAATTTTTAAACTTTCGAATGGCTTGCCGTATCCTTTTCCTTTGGCGCATCTTTTCGAATTATCATAAGCGTGTGAAATAGTTCAAAAAACATTGAATTTTTGGATCGCTTTCTAAACCTAAATATTTGGATCACTGTTTAGAGAAATTTATAAACTTTCGAACATATCCTTTTCCTTCGGCGCATCTCTGCGCGTGAATTATCAACGCCAACGTTCTCTGTATTTTTCTTTTCCCCTTCGAAAAAGTGTTTCCCTCGACGCGCCTGCTGAGTTCTGACCAATCAAACCCAACCAATCAATCCAAATTTAAAACGACTTACCACCGATACAACCAGCAAAGAGACAGCAAGCCCCACCCTTCCCTTTAGAGGGAGCCAGCTCCTTCCTTTTCATCTCCACCCTCCACGTGTCCACCATACTACCCTCTGATCTTCTTTTCAAACGTGTGGTGCTGTCTCCACTCTAACGTGCCAGCTGCTTCCCCTTTCTTCTTGACTATTATTATTATTATTATTATTATTATTTATGAATATTTTTTTGTTACTAATACATACATTATACCTATGCAGTTGGTCACGTTAGTTTTTTTCCCTAAGAAGGTCCCCTTTTCACAAACATAGCTTTCAAGCCTCGCTGGTTACCCCCATCTTTCTTGTTTTGGACTTTTTGCATTTATGTCCCCATGGCATCTTCATTCTTTTACTGGCATGTTGATCATGTCACTGCCCCTTTCACCTCTAAATACTATAAAATTTGTATGCATGATGGGTTAAATAATGTTTGTTTTTCCGACGATTAGAGGTGTACTCATGGTACCTAATTTATACATTCATCACTGCTAAACCTTTTTTTTTTAAAAAATAATTATATATGTCTTTTAAAAAATAAATTATATACCAACAAGTTGTTGGCTAATGATAAGTGATTTATTTTTTGACGAATTTTCTGTTAATATATTAAATTCGAATCTTAAATTTGTATTTGTTAGAAAAAATTAAAACTTATTATCTCCCCTTTAAATATAATTAGTCATGTTTTTAACGTGAAATAGAGATATACGAGAAAAAAATAAAAATAAATTCTAACGTGCAATAAGGATATAGTAATACAGGATAGGCAGTAAACACCACACAACAAAGACATATAACTGACAATGCAGGGGCACAGCTGCAAAATTATGTCACTTGTCTTTCTTGCACCCTAAGCACAAAGGTTTCTTATTAAGAAAACACAAACAATATCTGACTATTGAAGGAAAATGTCATTAAGCAGAGCAACAAAAATATCATGTCTTCTTAAAGCATTTGATGATTATTATTATTACTGTATGGGGGGCCACAACCTTTTTTCCTCTGTTTGAATCAAATCATGTAAAGGCCTATATAAGAAGTAGACGGACCTGTGTAAAAGAAAGATCTCAAGGGAAGTAATTAAAGAAGTAGAGCAGCCTTGAAACCCTTTTTCTTTGTTTGTTAGAAGGCAAGAAAAGAATCCACTGTTTGCAGCAGGGAAGTTCCTTGTAACTTCTTGTGTAGCTCTCACTTCAGATGTTTTTGGTGCTAGTATAAATAAACATTACTTGTTTCTTTCTTTCAAGAAACACACCTAGCTCTTTTCCATCTCTCTTCCTCACCTTAATTTGTTTCCTCTAGAAATTAGCTCTCTGGGGCTCTGTTACTTTCTGTCAAGTTCTCAAAAACCTGGTTTGGAACTTCTGGATTTTTATACTTCTCGAGAAGTTCACTTTTTAGAACAATTAAGAGATCATATATAGAAAACTTGAAAAGATGGGAGTTAGTGGCACTTTGGAGTATTTATCTGACTTGGTGGGAAGTGGTGGACATAAACACAAGAAGAGGAAGCAGTTACAGACCGTAGAGCTCAAGGTCAGGATGGACTGTGATGGTTGTGAACTTAAGGTCAAGAATGCCCTTTCTTCCATGAGCGGTATGTTGCCTGCTCTTTCACCTCTCTCAGTTTCTTCACTGCTGTGTTCTTAATTTTTTTTTTTTTTTTTTTTTCACAATTTGCTGTTGAAAAGGAAGTGATAATATGTACATTTTAGACTAAATTAATTGCTTTTGTCATTTATGCAGGAGTTAAAAAGGTGGATATAAACAGAAAGCAGCAAAGGGTGACTGTCTCAGGATATGTTGATTCAAATAAGGTGTTGAAGAAGGCAAAGTCAACAGGGAAAAAGGCAGAGATTTGGCCATATGTTCCTTACAATTTAGTGGCTCAACCTTACGCTGTTCAGGCTTATGACAAGAAGGCACCTCCCGGTTATGTCAGGAATGTAGAGAACGCTGCCACCACAGGCACTGTGACCAGATACGAGGACCCCTACACCTCCATGTTCAGCGATGACAATCCAAATGCTTGTTCTATCATGTAATGCAACCGAAATTAAGAAGTAAATCAAATGTCCTATCTACCTGCTTCTCTTTTCAGGAGTTTAAAGAATTTCCATGTAGAGTTTTTCTCAATTTTCATTTATTTTGCAGTAATAAGATTGTGAGTAGATGAATTTTCCTCCTTTCGGACCTTCTGAATGGTCCCAATCAATGTTTTGTAGTTTCGAAGTGCGTGGTTTTGATGGGCCTAGACTTTAGCATAGGTTTAGGTATTTGATGGTGAAATATACTGTGGGTAGTTGTAAGGCACCTCTGAGTAATAGTACTGTAGTAGTAGCTCACTTTATTTCACTTTCTTGTTCATGATGTTATGGGTTTTTCCATTTCGTGACAGAAATAATGCTAACAGCTGTAGTGAGCAAGCTGGGTGAAGGTGTAGGTGATGCAAGGATGTCGCTATTGCTACGAGGGTGCATGATAATGAAACTGAGAAAAACTCACAATACACATGACATAATAAGGATGACGCTTTGAGATCTTGAGAAACTAAAAGTTCAAATTGAAGTACCTAATCTCATGCCTAAAGAGGCTTATGTGCTAAACTTGTGAGTTTCAGGCTTTCAGCTATAATCATATCTAGTACTCTAGGCCAGGCCAGCTTTTGGCTGAACTAGCAAGAATGCCTAACCCCAAGGTTTGGGAAAGAGAAATTGGCGCTAATATTTAAAATCACAAAGATTTCGAATCCATTTGGTTCCTATGAAAGGCAAGGAAAAGAAATTCCCAACAAAAGCACGTCCACTCAAAACCAAACTTGAGAAAAAGAATCCATCTTTTCTATTTTCAACCTTTCTCTGTTCCAAAGGAAGCGTAAAGACATATAACAGTCCTGTAAATAAAGATTCATGCGCAATACAGTTTCCCACACAGCTTCAAAAATCATGCCCGCGCTCAATTTCACTTCAGGATAAAGCACTTACCAACCGAAGGGAAAAAAACAAACAAAAAGAAGATAAAGAAGCTACTTTCACCTATGTCAATACATATATTTTATGTACAGTCCACTCCTCCATTATTTTTCCATTGGAGTTTTGAAGGTGGACCAAGTCAAAGCACATGTAAAATCATGCATGTTGGTAAATTGATGTGGTTTTTCAGATGAGGCTAACAAGAATGGACAAATAAGTATCTTTAACATATTATGGCTGCTGAGAAACAGCAGATTATGAAGTGACGAAAGGAAAACCTCTTAAAACAGACAAGAATGAAATAATTGTTGCTAATAATAAGAAAAAACACAATAAAACTTGACAGACTAACCATTGACAAATCAAAATCAAAAGAAACAGCCAATAACATAAAATTTATGTTTTTGCTAGATGCTCGGGATAGAAAAATAACTACTCTTAACAATCAGGATGTTCAATTCCACCCTGTGAGTAAAAGAATAATTCCAACCTCCAATAAAGCACAGTATAGTAAATTAGAAGAAACCATTGCTTGCGTTTTGAGTAAAGGTGAATATTGTAAAGTAATGCCAGTAATTTATACTCAAAAGTTTGCTCTTCATTTCTCTTAAGGTTCAAGAAAATGCTCCTTTTGGATGAATTTGGTGGCAAGAAAGCATATCAGTACAACAGGAGCAGAGAATGAAATTCACTTAAGCTATTTACCCCCTGGTGATCTTCATGTTGATGCAGTAGCAGTAAGTGCTCATTAGACTTTTGAGACATCATTAGTACATATATCTTGTAAAGCCTGATTTGCCTGATTTGCAGAATCATTTTGTTTAAAACGTACTAATATAGATGGTGAAAAAATATATAAAAAATCACGAGAATTCCTGGGGAAGAGGCCGACAGACGATTCTTATCATACTTAGGGTATTTTATATTTTAATGATCTTCTTAGGTAGGGTTATTGCACAATTACAATCATAGTATCTATCCAACATCTGCATCTAACAAGTGACTTCAGCCTTGTTGTCTTCCCCTGCAACTAAAGCATGCATTGTCTAGCAGAAAATGGTGTTTCTATGATTGTAAATGTGCATAATTGACCTCAATATCCTCCAAGAGACCTTCAACTCTTAATGAAAAATGGAAGTGTAATGAGCACCATTAATTTCTAAAAATTGGTCACTTTATGTACACAAACCATTGTCCCCCACATTTGAGTACTTTTTGGCACTCAAAAAGGGAATAATCCACCTTTTTATGGTTTTACTACTTAAATCTCAGAAAGTAGGATTTATGCTTTCTCATGGGTCAGAGAGATTATGATATGCTGAGGTGGGGTTGTGAAGAATATGCTTTACTATGCACTTTCATAACGTAAATTTACATACATGAGCCATGACCAACCTATGAGATTCTTGATCTCGTAACTGTGAGTCAAATGTATACAGGCTGCTTCTGGAAGTCCAAAGTAGCTCTTGGATTCCAATCCCAGCATCTATCCAACAATGTGAAATGATATCATTTCCAAGGTAACGAGAGGAGACTCACTTGATGGTCTAAACTTGACTTTCAGCTATTTGTTACTCCTATTCCCAGAGTAGACTCCAACAAAATTAATATCATAGAGAAGAGTTGCATTGCCAGGGATATTGCAATCACCTGTGTAAACCATATTATGGTTGTTAGTATCCAAGTAACATGTGCAAATATTGACTGAATGTGTTTCGTTCTTTAACTTCTATCCTTTTTCACTGGAACAGTTCAGCGATGCAAAAATGGAGTCATGCTAGTGAGCATATAAAATCACGACAATGCATAACAAGTAAGACCACAAATCCAATACAAGATTAATGGGCTTAATAAAGTCTAGGTGAGAAGAGATATTGGAAATAGAGACCAACAGTATTAGTCATTATATCTACAATAATAAAAACAAGGAATCCATACAACCATACTGCAAATTCAACATGCACTTGAACTCAAAGGCAAGAGGATGGAGAAACAAAAAGAAACAACTTATACTTTTTCTCAGGCCTGACTGTTTGAAGCTAAAGCTGTAGTGTGCATCAAATATTTAGAAAATTTTTTTAAGCTCAAATAGCTTTTGAGTAATTTAAATGTTCAATGACATGGAATGCATCATATGGGAACATCACCTGAGAAGCATCCTGCAGGTTCTGGTCCATATGCTAAAGGGGGAGGAATATAAAGCTTACGTTTTCCACCTGCAAAAGACTAGCAGCTTGACAAACCATTCGGGCAAACAATAAATGCACAACACAGAGAACCAATAGAACTTCTCCTGTAGTTTTCAAAATCTTACCTTCTCGCATTGGGGACACCCCTTCACCACCTAGAATTCCCTGATCCAATCCCCTAATGACCTAAACAAATAAATAACCACGTAAAATAAAGTTGACCGATATAGGTATATGTGGGGAAATCATATGCTGCATCAATTGCTATGTCATATGCTTTGTTTATTGTTGCTGTGAAGAATAGCAGAACTGCTTCATGAAGGAAAAATCCCAAGTCACAAGAGTCACATAAAAGTTTCAATTGGTCATGTTCTAGATTTCTCATAACTATTGATTACCAAATGGAAGAGTCAATTTAGTTCCTTAGCATCTTTCATCATTAAAGTTTACAACAGAAGGATTCACAGAAAGTGCTAGGACAGAGATGTATCAAATATTTTACTAAGCATTGCACATGAAAACTCTAACCTATCCTTACATGGGGACATTATGGAAAATGGTGATCCGCCCATAATCACTGATTTGGTTGAGAAGGTATAAAAACAATCCAATCAAAGAATAATAAGCAACAAATATAGCATGCAGATAATATAACCTGTTAATGAAGACAAAAGTGCAGTAAAAGTTATATCAGATCTCTACAGAGCGCTTTGAGTTGTGATTCAAAAAATACATGGTAGCAAGTAGTTTAGATCCTAGTCTTACAAGCTTCTAACATGCCAGCTGTAAATCAGAAGTTCAAAAGAAAATCTTCTCCACTTGTATGTTTGAAAACAAAATTGAACCAAATTAATAATTGTAGCTAATATTTTCACACCTTGCCAACACCAATGCGCATGGTGAGAGGTCTGCCGCGTTTATAGCTGCTGTCAAAGACTATCCCATCAGCAAATCTGGCAGTGTAATGGACCTGTATTGAGGGAGGGGAAGAAAAACACCGGTTGTGATGTTTCATGGTATTTGACATCTATCTAATACTAGTTGTTTTTTGGGTGAAATTATTTATAGTTGCTAGTTAGAGAAAAAAGATATTTTGATCTAGTACTCAAACAAGTTGAATTTTACGGAACATTTCATGACCAGAATACAACTAATAATTATAGAGATCCATCACCACAAAACAAGCATTGAGCATAATAATTTAGTTAGAATTTAAGAGACTGCCGCAAGTTTTATTTTTTTACATCTCAGAAACATTAGTTGGACACATTACAAATAGCTGTTTGCTTACTAGCATAGAAAACCATGAGGTATTGAAGACGAACATGAAACAAAGAAACCTGGCACTTTAGGATAAAGTTATAAACTACTCCAATTAAGTCTAGTCCTTTATCAAACTTAATTCACAATTTCTTCAGTAGGAAAAACTCAAAATTACAGAAAGTAAAAAAGAAAACCCAACTCTCCACTCATCATTGCCAAGAAAACATAAAAGAACCTAATTAAGAACATATAAAAACTTATTAAAATCTCGACACAGATTGAATAACTATCATACCACTTAGTTAATTTGAGATTAAAGCTCGGCACAATTACTTCAACAAAGCGAATTAAAAAAAAAAAAAAATCAAGATAAGGAATTAGCAAAATTCATGCATTTTAAACTTACATTAATGAGCTCACTATATGGGGCATCCACCCCAGAACCTACAGAAATATCACAATAACCAAGGCCAGAGGGAACAAAGTTAAGGTCACATGGTGGGTCTGCTACAGTAGCATAGTACTCAATTCTGGTAGCGTCAGCATCCAATGGCGAGAAAGCAAGAACTGATGCAGCTAAAAGCCCCAAACCCACATCAAGAATGCACTTCTTTGTCTTAGAAACTGACTTCAAAGACAGATTTGTTTCTCTATCATGCGACAAACATGAAAGACAAGAATATGGTGAAGTGGGCTGGGAAGTGAAAGTGGGTTTGTTAGTGTTGAAGAGGTTTCTTGAGGTTGTGAATGTTATAGCAGAGAGTGCTGCCATGTTTTGGTCGGTGACTCAGTGTAGTGTGGTTTGTTATGCTCTGTCTGATCCAGGTGAGGTGAGTGGTTTTAAAAAGCTGTTAAGCTAGGAGGGTGGATTGAGGAAGAAAAGAACTCTTTTGGAGGGGAGGAATTTTGATCGTTGGATATGGATAAGAGCCCTTAATGATTTTGTTTCGGATGGGCTTGAGACTGGAAGGCCTGAACTGAATTAATTATAACTTAATTCCTATAGTTTAACAAAAATAATTTTGTATTATAAAAAATAATTAACTACTCATTTTACCAGTATTAACCATACTAAATTAGCTTTCGGTACCAAAAAAATGCTTTCATTTTTCATCAGATTTTCCTATCTTAATGACTTAATTTTCTTCTCTTCTTGCATTTATAATTAAAGAATAAAATAAAACACAATAAATCGTAAAAGAACAGGATTTTAACAAAAAGACTAGGTTATAAATAAACTTAAGAAATATAAAAATTAATATATAGTTTCTGAAACCATGATAATTAATTAATTTATTTATTTTATTAAACTACAAGGAGTAAGTAATGATTATCTCTTTAATTTTTGTACTTAGTTTTTAATGTAATCAGAGACTTTTGAACCTTAGGACTAGAGAATGTTAAAAAAAAACAAATCATATAATATGGCAAACGCGCATAAATTAAAAGTCAATCTTTTTTGGTCAGAATTAAATGGCAAATTTTGGCTATGATTTTGTTTGGATAAGCATTCAGAGAAGCTGGCTGCTCCGGGAATATATATATAATCTTAGTTTTGATTCCGAAAACAAACCATTCCACTCTTCAAGGTGAATAAACCATGACCCCTTCTTCCAAATCAACACAATCGTTCAACACTAGCTTATTTTTCGGGCAGTCCCTGTTAACCATGAATGGCCAAAATCAACCTTAACCAGCAAACAAGGCCCATGCATTAACAGAAAAACACCCTCTTCATATCTCTCTCTAATTTGGTAGGATTCTCATTTTCTTTTTCAAGAAGAAAAGAGAAGATCAGACATTATCAGCAGATTTCTATTAATACATCATTTGCCTTTCTTTATACATAGCTGATCAGGGACTTGTTTGTTTTTGCTATTGTATATAAATTGAAAATGGGTCGTGTCAAACTCCAGATAAAGAGAATAGAGAACAACACAAACCGGCAGGTTACATTCTCCAAACGTAGAAATGGACTCATTAAAAAAGCTTATGAGCTTGCGATTCTTTGTGACATTGATATTGCTCTCATTATGTTCTCTCCATCTGGTCGTCTGAGTCATTTTTCTGGCAAGAGGAGGTGACCATCATTTCCTATGATCTTACATAGTTTTCATGCCAATTTTCTTAATGTGTTCTTTCTTCTTCTTTTTTTATACATAGACTCGAAGATGTGATAGAACGTTACGTAAATATTTCAGAACATGATCGAGACAAGAGGTATTTTGTTCTTGCATCTGCTATTCCCCCCCCCCCCCCCCTTTTTTTTTTTGTATTGCGACATTATATGAACAGTTTTTTCTATGTATTTTGCATTTTTTTATTTTTTTGCAGCTGTGGCATTCAAAATCGAGAGGTAACTATACATGTTTTCCTTTTCTTTAATTATCTTTTGTCTGGATTGAATAGGGCACAATTCTTATAACCTACGCATTTGTTTGTCCCCATATCTAATTGCAGTATTTGCTCAACATCCTGAAGAAGCTCAAGGTTGAGGATGATATGGCTATTCAAGTTGCAAAGTAGGATTGATCTCTTTCTCAATTTAATGTTAATTAATTATTTCATTTTGTTCCAATTAATCGATACAACATTTCCCCAATTAAGAAGTATATTTTTGTTTTGTCTTGTAGTCCTGATCATGCTATGAATTTAAATATGGAGGTAATTAAAAACAACTACTGTCTTTTTTTCCCCTTAATTTCCTGGTGGATTTGGAATATTTTTGCTTCCACACATAGGGCGCAATTATGGATTAATTTTTGTTTTTCTTGTACAAATTAAGGAACTCCAGCTAGAAGTTCGTAATTTGCAACATCAACTTTATATGGCCGAGGAACAGTTAAGGTTAGAAAAATTTAACAACAAAAAGTAATCAGTTTTTCTGACATTTTGGTAAAGTATAATCTCTAAATATTTTTGTTAAATAACTAATTGAAAGGTTATACGAGCCTGATCCTCTAAAATTTTCGTCAATGATGGAACTTGAATCATGTGAGAAGACTCTTTTGGATACCATGGCACGTCTTGATGAGAGAAAGGTTAGCTAGTCTTTTCTTCTAATTAGTACTGCATGATTTTAAGTGTTAATTTTGTTCCAAAAAATCCCATAAGATCCATTTTAATTCTAATATACCTTGATTTGCTGCAGAAATGCATCTTGAATAATCCAGTATCTACTTATGACCCATCAAGTTTGCAGGTAATCAATTGTACTTTGATTTATAATCGCTATTAATCTTGAATTACTTGATCAATTAATTTAATTTAGGACAAAGAAAATGAAACTTCTGACATTCCACCTTTAACTATGCAGATGTTCTTAGATACAAACGGGGGCTGCCAGACTTTGAAAATGATATTGCAAGTTGGTTGCCTGAAAATGGAAACAACCACAGTTCTGTTCGCGTAGGATCTGATCAATCGTCTTGTGTTCCAGTGAGGTAAATAAAGCCGGAAAACTTCGTACAAGGAAGATGGGAAATTTGTATAACATCAGGTGCTTTTTTTAATGGATTTATTATTATTTTTTTTTTGTGTGCATGTATTTTTTCTTCAGCAATCAATCCTCCACGACACTTTTTGATGCACTGTCTCATGGGAATAATAACGTAATTGTAAACCCTTGCAACAACTTGGAAGGAAGCAATATGAACAACTCGAATAGCGAAGTCTTCCCATCTTGGTACCAAGCTTTCTCGTCATTGTCATCAACTGAGCTCCTCTCTGCCTTCATGCCTCCAACCTCATTCTCTGCAGTAAAGGTTTCTGATCCCTCTCTTCAGGCATCAATGAAATATACTATATGGTTGCTAAATTAAGATCCTTGTTCTAGTGGCTGTTTAATAACTAGAACATATACACTTCTCTTGTCAGCAAGAGAATATTGCAGGTCCAAGCTTTACATCAATGCTGCAACAGCCACAGGTAGAGACCACATCAAACTGCCAACAAATGCCTTCTAGTACTGCTGATCAATGTTCAGATTATGAGAATAAGATACAACAACCTAAGGCAGAATAATGTTTCACTCCAGCAACATCTTTTGGGTGGTTAAATAGCAAATTAGCAACGCAATCCAGAAATTTGGCTGATCAAATAGGAGGTTGGTCCTGGTTCATGGTGGTCCACTCAGGATCACAAATTTTAAGGAGGGCACATAAAATTTGTCTTTTTCTTCTTCCTGTTTCTTCATGTAGGAAAGGAATGTCGATGATGTATGTATATTATGAGCACATGAATTTGTATGATAAAGAAGATAGAAAACAAGGATTTTCTCCAGATTGTATGCCTTGGGTAGAAAAAAAGAAAAAAAGAAAGTATATTAGCGATCAATGTTACAGGTCGAGGATTACTCGTAGAAAGATGCTTGAAGTGGATGAAGAGAGTCTGTTTGTTTCCATTGGGCCTGATCCCTATGCCAATACATAGTATTGATTCCTGTATCCAAGAAAAATTATCGATCTCAGGCCATGACCGGTCAGCCTGCTAATATATATATATATATATATATATATATATATATATTCTCTGAGTTCCACATATAATGCAATATTTGACCAACGATTTTGGGAAGAAAAATATATTGCCGTATTCATGAAAGTTCTAAGAAATCTGAAATCATTGGAACGAATTCATTTATTCAGGGAAAAAGATAGAAAAATTCTGGAATAGTTTCAGAGGTATTACCTTTACAGTTTTAACTCATGGCACACAGAAGGCCACAGTTAATTCAGAGCTTGATGTACAATTATGGGATGCTAACAAACCAAATTTTCTTACATATTCGAAACAAAGAACTGCTTAACCATGCAAGAATTATTTGTGGCAGTATATTCGATTATCTTTGCACTATACTGTCAAGATTATCGTTCTTGTTTGTCAGACGTTGAACCAGAAAGAAGCCATCGTACTGCAAACGGTCAGCATCCAGCTGGTTTCCTGTTGGGGGGAATTTGCGATTCCTCAACCCCCTGCCCTGCTCACATTTCATGAAGCCAGTTTTGTTAATATCCCTTTTATTAATGCTGATAATGATTTCGAACTTTAACTAATGTTAATGATTTCAATTTTGTTTATAATATTTCACATCACTTCAACATTGGCATTTGTGAGAATTATATCATGGAAAAAAAGACCAGTTTTAGTTATTACCATATTTCTTCCACAGAATTCAAGAGACTGTCATGAGTGTAGATTCCATTTTGGTAAGTGGATAACTCTCCAATTTAAGTCTACCATATTCTTAACCAACAAAAACTTAAAAAAAAAAAAAAAAAAAAAAAAACGCAGATAAACTCATTTTACTCGTTGTTCAACTGGTTGATCATGATCCACACTTGGTATACAGTAGGGAACATAATGTTTTACTTGATTTTTTGTAACTTCAGAAAAGATTTAATTTGGAAACTTTTCAAACTTTTGGAGGACCGTGATCACTCCTGGCCACCCTTTAAATTCATCCCTGGCTACGAGTACACATTCATTACTCCAAGTCCCAACTCCCTGATCCGTAAAATAAGGTAAAATAGAGTTCTGATTGATATCTGACCTCATTGATGGGGTTATGATCATGTAAGTTTCCAATTGGGGATTCTGGTGGCGGATCCACTTGGTTAAGAGCTGCCACCGGATTCATTGCACTAGAAGCTAGAGCTGCTGGGTGGTTGGCATTTGCATGAAGACCACCATTGTACAAGTTGTTGATTGGGGTAATGGTGCTGCGAACGCTGCTAGTGAACAGAGGTTTAAATGATTACTTTTGGTTTCTCTCAATCAAATTCAGACCATTCCATGTTTACAAAGCAACAGAACGGAGACTTCACCATCTTACTTGTCTACGTAGATGATGTTTTATTGGCAAGCAACAACATGACTCTGATTGAGGATACAAAGCGTTATCTGGATAGCACTTTCAAGATCAAAGACCCTGGAGAAGCAAAATACTTTTTGGGTCTTGAACTTGCTAGATCTTCTTATGGTATAAACCTTTCCCAACGTAAATATACTTTGGATCTACTTCAGGATATTGGATTCCTTGACTCTAAACCTGTCTTTACTCCTATGACACCAAACACCAAATTATTCTCTGAAGGTGAGCCATTTCCAGATGTTACTTCATACAGATGCCTCGTTGGGAAATTAATCAGGATGATGAACTTAGGCAGAGAAATTTCCTATAACCTCGCAGGAATAGAAGAGTAATGGCAAGAGAAAATTGATAGAATTAAACCCAGCAGAGTATCCCTCAGATGCAAATGCAAAAGCTGATCACAATTGATCCATACAGTGTTGACTGGAGCATCTAAATTCGGCAACTTGAATAGCGTAGGCAAACGAGACATAAACGGCCAGCTCAATGCAAATTCCATGAGGAGTCAAAAACTAGGCTCGAATTTGAAACAATTGAAAGAACAAATTATAGCCATCACACAATTCACTACTAAATTATATGCAGTAATATCGTTCAAGAAAATAAAATGATCAACCGTATCATTTTTATTTATTTATTTATTATCTTTTATATATATATATATAAACACAGAAATCAAGCTGTTCATTTATCTCAACCTTGGGGATATTTGGGCTTGTAATGGATTCTTCATCACTACTGTGAATTCTTCCTTCTCGGCCAAATCAACATCATCTCCATCCACAGCCTTCCACTCAAATTTCCAAATCAAATTAGCTACAAAGTACTCCAAATGAAGCAGTGCTAAACCATAACCAGGACAAATTCTCCTCCCAACCCCAAATGGCATCATCTTGATCTCTCTACTTCCTGTTATATCAAATGTTTCCCCTCCACTATTTAGAAACCTTTCAGGCTTGAATGCCATAGGGTCCTCCCACACCTTTGGATCCCATCCCATTTCAGCTACCATGAAATTTATAGTTCCATCTTTCGGTACCACATATTTACCCAACACTACATCTTCAGTCACCGCATGTGGCAACACATAATGGGCGGGTGGGTGCCTCCTTAGCCCTTCCAGTATGATTGCTTTTAGATATGGCATCTTCTGCAATTCCTCTTCTTGTATATTCTCTGCTCCATCTCGCACAACCCCTTTAATCTCCATGAATAGCTTCTCTTTAATTTGTGGGTACTTGACAAGATTGGCCATGATCCATTGTAATGCTGTTGAAGTAGTATCTGTTCCCCCGTTAAGAAACTCTGAGCACAAACTAACCACTTCCCCTTCCTCAAGCTTTCTTTTTTCTTCCGGAAGTTCCAAAGCCAGTAAGGTATCAACATAGGAAAGAACATATTCATCTTCCTGCTCTTTCTTGTCCTCTTTACTTTTTCTTATCCTCTCTTCACTGGCCTTCTTTCTTTCTCTTATCAACGGAATCAAGACATCTTCTTGACATTTTCGAAGGCGAAAAAGCTCCTGCCAATGTCTACGCAACACAATCTTTGTCACTCTAGGCCAGAAATTGAGTATATTGAACTTACGGAAATTCACAAGCATTTCTCGCTGAACTTCCTCAATTTTTTTAATCTGGTTTTCAGCGAGCCTGTCACCAAAACACATCAGGACTAATAAACAAAACATAGCATATTGAAAATGTTCCATCACACAAACAGGATGACCGGATTTCGCTTGAGTCTCTAAGCGATTCTGGAGGATTTGCAGCACCCAATTGCGTGCATGAGAGTATGATTTTGCACGCGAAGGGTGGAGGATTTCTGCTGTGAGGTTACGCCGCAGGAGTCTCCAAGTTGGACCGTAGGAGGAAGAACTGATATTATGCTGATTACTAGTGGTAATTTTGGCAGTAGCAGAAGCTGGTAGACGGTCCGCATAAACTGCTCCATTATGTATTAAAGCCTGATGAGCAAGGGTGCGATCCGCAACGAAGATAGCAGGACGCGTGCCAACGCGGAGGGTAACCATTGGGCCAAACTTGGCGTGTAGGGACCGGAGGATGGGCTCTAGCTTGAAGGCTGACATGCGGAGCCATAGTAAGTTGCCGATGATAGGGAAGGTTAGTGGACCTGGAGGGAGTTTCCTGGTTGTTAGAAAATTGTTGAAGATAAATTTCAAGAAGAGAGAGATGGAAATGGAGACAAGGATAAGGAGCCAAGTTTCCATACTGAAGAGATTAGTTTAGCTGTGGTAATTGTCTTCGAGTGTGTATACATATATATAGACTCACAAATTGGCAGACTTATGGGCTTTGGTGTTTATGGTCGTGATGCCCCTTTTTGTGTCTATGGCTTTATCCTTGACTGGGGATACAATTTTCCTTTTTTATTCGTATAAGAATGTATTTTTTTCTAATTGATTATAAAAGTATTTTGAATTTTTGATAGGATGAAGAAAGGTTCTAAAATTTTAGTTTTTCTAATTTACATCTCAAATCTTTCTCTCTTTTTTTCCTGTTATTCTCGTGATTCATTAAATAACGATGTGTGCCTTGCCAGTACCTGAAACTAATTAAAAATCAAATGATAAAACAGTCCCTAATTCAAATTAAAAAGAAAAAATCTTTTTTAACATTGAAATCTTTTGTTCTTCACCTTCATACTAATTTCTATGTTAGGACAGATTTCGATACAGGAGTAAGCCTAGGAGGCAGGGGTGCATTACTGGAAGAGGGGTGGAGGTGGTGAATTGATGGTGGCCGTGGAGATGATCTTTTAGAAGTGGGACAGATGCTGGTTGTGGGGGAGGATTCGAAGGTGGTTGTGATGGATTTGGAGAAGATGGTGGTGGTGAATTTTGAGGTGGCCTTGGTGAGGGATGGTGGTGGAGGTGAACTCTGAGGTGGTAGTGCTAATGATGATGGTAGAGGAGAATTTTGAGGTGATGGTGTTGAGAATGATGGAGTTATTGAGGTTTTTAGGTCTAATGGGTTGAAATTGAGATATGAAAGTGGTGTTGTACTATACTGTTTGAAGGTGGAAGAATAGTAAAGGTGGCTAGAGATTAGCATTTGGGTTTGGATGTTACTGGTTTTGATGAGGTTTTTGAATCTGATGCATTGATATTTGTTTTTTTTAATCATTTCACGTTTGTATGTTTTTCATGTGTAGTCAAAAATTGGTCAAGAGGGAAAAAAAACTAGATTGTGGATAAAAAAAAGTTTGGGATTTAAATCAGAAAAATTAAAGTTTTGAGACTTTTTTCTATTTGATAAAAAATTCAAAATACTTTGTAACTATATATATATATATTGATGCGTCTCAAAAGGGGTGGAATTCCAAGCTAGCTAGCTTGTTTGTTTTTATGTACAACGTATTCCATTACGTAATCAATCCTAGAAGGGACTTATTAACACTTACTCAAATCAACAAGGATTGTCCATTATACAAAAAAAATATATAAATCAATGTAGTTGGTGCGATGGACAGTGAAAGTTTGAGATTTTTATTCAACTTTGCTTGAAATCACCTGATCTCCTTAGTCTTCACCTACCGTCCACGCATTTTAAAATCTGAACATGAAAATTTTATTTAGGAGGGTCAGATTTCAACACTGATCGTTTCATTAAAAAATATAATGTGTCTTAATCTCTTGTGGTAATTTTTTTCTTTAAGCAAGGTGACATATTTTGCTTGTTCTAATCTAGAATACTTTACTTGGTCTTAGTAAGTAACTAATTGAATTAGTTCCCATAAAAAAAATAAAACTGCTCAAAATAGAAGATTATAAAATCTCAGAAGTCAATAATATCGACTCCTATTTTTGGCCTAGACAAATTGACCGGTGGATTGTTAACAGGAACGTGATGTTCACGACAAGCGGTTTTCTTCGTGGTGAAGAATAATAGAACAACGCGTTTCAATTTGCACCACAATCCACTGCAGAGAAACAAATTTCTTTCGACAATGACGTTGATGAATTGAAGATGCTTATGTACTGTTTTTCGTATGACAAAATGTGTACCAAAATGATGGGGAGCTTTTTCTAACACAGTCCAGTAAAAAAAGCCTAATAGCTTCGAACTTCAAAACTTGTCAGGCCGGATCAAGCTCCACGGCATGTCAAGAAAGACCGGCCTGTTAAGCGGGCTCAAAGCACCTAAAGGGCGTCAGGGAGGCCGGATCAAGCTCCACAACATGTCAAGAAAGACCGGTCTGTTAAGCGGGCTCAAAACACCTAAAGGAAAGGCCGTAATACCTTTCTACCATGGGGTTGTAGTACGGAAGAGAAAGATGTTCCTCTTCTCCATCTTCATGCATAAACAAAGCATCCATTGTCATTGGAAGGTAAAGTATTAAATAAAAAATCGTTAACGATAACATCAATCAAATTATTATTCATCAATGACAAGGCATTAACATTTATTGGCTCCTCCAATTATCTTAAAAGAAAAACGATATTCATGTCTTTTCTACCATTAAAGAAGCTCCCCACTTCTAATAACCATACGAAGGAAGGAGGACGACCTCCACAAAAGCAAGAGGTTACACACAATACTTAGCAACACAGTACTCAAGATACAGCATACAAAGAAAAAATACATAAAAAAAAGATACATAAGTATTTTTATTTAAAGAGATGTCTTCTATTGAGTTAAAAGAGTATTTTTATATATCTATATCGAAATCATCACATGTTGTGCCTGTGATGTCAATTTTAACTGAAATAATAGGGATATATTTGAGAATGGAAATAAGATAAAGATTACACATGATTAATTTTTATATTGATAAATTGTATAATATAAAGGGTATATTAATAGGTTTTTTAATCAATTAATAAATTATAAAGTTAATTTGAAAAAATGTATAACTATGAAGCTCTTGAATAATAATTTTGACTGCACATGGTTGGTTTTTATTCACAATAATATTTTCATCTAAATTTTGTTAAAAGTTTTTTAAAAATTTATTTGTATAAGCTTTAAATAAGTAATTTATATTTAAATAATATTTATTAATAATTCTTATTTAAAATTACCGATTTAAATAAATTTATTTAAAAAAATTTCAATCGTATAGTCGAGTCTACTTAGACAATTAAGTTTTATTAGTGAATTATTTACTTATCCTTCGGTAAAGAAGCAAAATATATGTTTTTTTTTAGCATAATTCAACATTTAGATATTTAGAAAAATTGCTCTTTATGTTGAAAACTATGAGTTAAACGATAACAAAATGTAAATTATATATATATATAAAAAAAGCTACAAAATGGGTGACAAAAAAGTTTTACATTTTTCATTTTTTTTTAACAAATTAGCAAAAATGATCTAAACGATCTAAAACGCGATTATAGGTTTTGCAATTTCTCACCCAAATAGGCAAAAACAATCTCAATAGGGATTCAAACTGATGCAATTACAGGCTTGTGATTTCTTAGACAATAGATAAAAAAAAAAAAAATTGTTTATATCAAGGTTCAGACGGATGCAATTATGAGTTTCATGATTTCTCAAACAAATTCAAGAAAATTGGTTTCGAGACCATTGCATTCTCAGGAAATTAAGTTTTAAAAAACACGTCATTGTAGTTTTTTTTTAAAAAAAGACTCAAGACAATGGTTTTTAGGATTGTCGCAAACTCAAGGATATTGAGGTTTATAAAAGAAAAAAAAATGGCTTGAAATTTTTAATTCGTATAAAATATTATTCGAAAATAATTTCAACGCAGCATTCAACAAAATTGCACAATCAAAGTCACAGTAAGACCAAACCGTTACATCCCAAATAAACCAATCACATCAAAACTTAATCTTGTCCTTGAATTTCTTTATTGAACACCAACCTTATACCTCTTTATAATAAATTTTCTAGCAACATCGTACCCCCAGGTATCAACCTAATTGGTGACTAAAGCACTTTTATGCACATATTATTACAATTTGACATTTTAAAGTGATAAATAAAATGAAAAAAGCGGTACGAAAACAAACCAATCCATCACTGGATATGACCAAACTACCCCTTACATTGAAAAGGATAGATTTACCCTTGATACCAAGAAGATAGAAATGCCCCTGGACTGGTGAAATTATTAGACTACTTATGATAGTCCTGAATTTTTCTATCGTCGTTGTTCACTCCTCGAGCCACCATTAGGTATGTGGACAGTGGGGTTGGCTTCATCTCAACCTCCCTTTCTTTTTGGTGGTGGTTGTGTTGGGCAAACCATCTATGAAGGTTTAAGGGAGATCAAAGGTGTCAAAGATTCGGCCATTTTTTGTCATTCTTCTTGGATTAATTTGGTCTGACTTAATGGCTTTTAAGGCTATAAATCCATCCCAATTGACTCCCAAGACATGTTAGAACTTGATTTTGGAGGTTATAAGGGTTGATTTGGCATGAAAACACCAAACTTTGAGATAGGATGGAAACGAATCGAGTCACAAGTCTTTCATTACTCTAGAGTACTCTACCATTTTCTTCCATCCTAGTTAGTTAGGAAAGGTCGATTTGAGGTTGATGCACATGTCTGTAGTGGTTATTAGGGGTGGTTAATACTTAAGTGGTTTTAGGAAAAAAGAGATCAACAGGTGTGGCAGGTTGGAGAGAAAGCCAAGCGAGTTTGGATTGCTAAAGGGTTGTTTAGCTAGTGGTTTTTGTTAGAGTGGGCACCTTCTCTTTTCTTTTTTTTTTCATTTTTTCTTTTTTTTTTTCTTGTTTTGTGAAAATTTTGGCCTTTCTCCTTCTCGTTTCTTCAAATTTCCGCTGCCTCCTCCTCCCTCTTCTTCTTCTTTTTTCTCTTTTCGAATGCCCTTCTCCCTTTTTTTTTTTTTCCTCTCTCTGAATTATAGGAGAAAAGGATGCGTTTATTGGAATTTTAGGGTTTGGCTTTATTCACATTTGGTTCCTCATATCTTTTTTGTTTTTCACCTTAAATCATTGGGTTTTTTTTTTCAATTACATCCTCCATTCAATTTCTATTGGTCTTCCCACATTTTATTTCCTTTGATTTGTGTCTAGATTTCTTTTCTTTTTCTTGATTTTCTTTTCTCAAAATTTTCACTCTTTTTTTTTTTTTACTTATTCTATTTTTTTCGACACTCAAAAATCATTAAACTCGTCAAAACCTCAAAAAATGGATGAAATTAAAAAATTAAAAAATTAAATATCCTGCCTATGCTTTTATTCTTAATCTAACTTATGAGGTTTGGTATCTTTAAGATCAATTGGTTCTCAACTACAATGTTTTCTCCTCATCTGAAAGTCTTAACTCATGTTGTGGAGTGACTATTATAAGAGAAGCATGGAAAAAGTTTATTGATGCCTATGCTTTTAGATCAAATACTCGGGTTTGTCGACTCAAGGCTTAACTTAGTTGACTTTGATATGGTGATGATATTTTGATGTATATACAGAAAGCCAAGGCTATTTATGATTAATTAGCTGCTTTTGAAAGTTCTATTTTAGAAGACGATGTTGTTGAAGCAATTTGTTTGGGGCTTAACAGCGTGTATGGATTATTTATTCGGTCTTTAGAAGCTCACCTTGTTGCCGTCTCCTATGATGATATCTATGGACTGTTAATTAATTAGGAGTGATAACTAGTAATAGATGCAGGCATAAGTAACATCACTACACCATTCGACTCAATTTTCTACTGGAGGTGGCAATGATTCCTATAGGTATGTTCGTGGATAGAGAGGTCGTGGGCAATGTGCTATTGGTTCTACTTATGGTAATTTTTCATCCTTTTGCCAATCATCATATTCTAATCCCACATCAGATTTTGCATTTTTGGACACTAGCACAATCGTTTGTCATAATTATCGAGGGAGTGACCATATTGCTTGTCAGTGTCCCTCACCTAAACCAAAGCCTAAACATCTCTAGACTCATGATTTTAAACTTGCCAGCCACCTTGCCTTTACCAGTCATTCTTTAAATCAGTCTTGGATTGTTGATACAGTGGCGACACACCATCTCACAAAAGATATGAAAAATTTAACTCTCCATTCTAAATACACTAAGCCTGAAGAAGTCGTTATTGGTAATGGTAACACTCTGCAAGTCTCTCATATTGGATCTTCTTTTGTTTCACTTAATGATCATATTTATTAGTTAAAGAATATTTTGCATGTGTCCACTGCCTATTAGAATTCAATATCCGTTAGTTGTTTTACAAAAGCTAATGCAACGTCTATTGGATTTTTTCCTAACTATTTTTTTATTAAGGATATTCATAAGAAGGAGGTGCTTTGCATCGAGCAGAATAAGCAAGGTCTGTTTTTCTTATCATTGCATCAAGTTTCTTCATCTCTTACTCTTGTTCAAGCTTTTTCAGCAGTATTATCTTCTTAACATGCTCGTTTGGGTCATGCATCTCTCAAGATTATTATTCAAGTTCTTTAAAATAATAATATCAATGTTTCAGTTTTGGATTCTCCTTCTCTTTGTCATGCCTATAGTATAAATAAAAGTTCAAAACTACTTTCTACGAAGTCTAAATTTAAAGCACAGACACCTCTTAAATTAGTTTGTTCAGATATTTGTCCATCTTCTATTGATTTAGTGACTGGTGCTAAGTATTATATTATACTTTTTAAATTATTTTAGTAAATATACTTAGACTTATTTTATTAAATACAAGTCTGAAGTACTCGATATATTTGTTAAATTTAAGCATATGGTAGAGAAAATTTTTGGGCTTCCAATTAAATCTTTTTAGACAGATTGACATGGTGAGTATTAGGTCTTAACGAAATTATCTTGTTGATAGTGGTATTGCACAGAGGAGTTCATGTCCCCACACTCCTGGTCCAAGTTTTTGAAATAGATTTTTATTTTGTACGTGATCGTGTCAGTTAAAGGACCTTGTTGGTTCATTACATCTCCAGTGCGGATCAAATTGTCAACTACCTTACTAAGGGCTTTCGAAACAGCGGTTCTAGTTTCTCCGTGACAAGCTTATAGTTCAATATTTACCTAATCAACTTGAGAGAAGGTGATAAGATAACAGATATACTTATGCATAGAATAATAACTCTCTTATGTTTGCCTGTTAGTTGAAATGTACATCGTTGTAACTTGTTTATACAATAAGACAAAAGCACCAAGTGTGTGTCATTGATCCAAACTCTAGTATTCTCCACCAAGTTCCATATCCTTGTTGTTCATCTCTAAGAACTCTTGCATGCTTAGCAAACCATCCTTGTTAGAGTCTCTATGCTGCATCATTGCACTCAAATCTTGTTCACTTGCGTTGTATCCAAGTGACCCCAAGATGTTGTCATGCTCAGCTGCTGTAATCATTGTCTGAATCAAAGGCTCTAAACGCTTCCATCAAGCTTAGGACTTTGCTCAATGACTCGATATCAGTAGAGAGCGATCCAAGCTGAGCCATGAAAGCTTTGGAACTGCTATGCCTTCTTATATTTGTAATGGATCTCAACTTTACATTATAGATGGAGGAAAATGTGAAATTATAGGTTGGCTTATGTTGTGAATGCTGTTAAGGATTTGGGACATGAACCAGAGGTTTCTGTTTTGATGATGGAGGTGGAGGTGACTTTGAGGTGCATGGTGATGTTGATGATGGAGATGGAGGGGAATTTGTAGGAGGATTCAACAATGGTGGTGGAGGTGAGCTCACGGACAGAGTTGCTAATGGTGGTGAGGGAGAAATGGAGTTTGACAGAGGACTACTACTGGATAAAGGTGGGGAAGGCGGTGGGGTTTTTTGTTATTTCACTTTTCCATGCCTTTCACATGTAGTCAAAGATCGATATATCAACGGAAAGATTAGACTTGATTGCTAAAAAAAAAAACTTTGGACCTAAATCGAAAAAAATTAAAGGTTGGATACATATTACTGTTTGACGAAAAATTCAAAAGACCATGAAACCAATCAGCCTTAATCTGCACCGGCCATTAATGGATGCAATTATAATGTTAATATGCAAAGTTATTGTGAGCTTATAAATTAACCAAGTAATGAAACCCTAATTAACAGCACACGACAAAATTAATAAACCTACTGGAGACAAACAGCAATTGAGCAAAGCTAAAACAGATTGAGATTTATTCATGACCACTAGATAATAGGCCCCTAAAAGAAGGTTATACCTTTGCATACAGAAGTTGGCAAAGTTATAAATTAGTCTCTCTCGTTTTACAAAATAAATTAGTTAGTTTCCTTTGTTTCAGAAACTAATTAATCAATTGACCAATATTAATTATGGTTAATTTAATAATTTTGGTTCAAAAAATATTTTTTTTCTCACCAATCTTTTCATATTTTTTTTACTTTTTTTTCTTCTTTATTTATTAAAATAAAAAAAAATGAAAAAAGATTAAGTCATAACTAGAGTTAAAAATATAAGAATTGATTAGTTAATTATTGAAACTAACGGAATTTAATTTCTTTTGAAAAAATAATTTATGATTTATAATTTACGCCTAGTAAGCACTAATAAGTAAAAATGATGATGGACGAGTACTTGACCCATTAATTTAATTTTTATCATAACTATAAAAAGAATATCTTACTCATTATCCATTAAAAAATCAATATATAAATCTTTACTCAATTCATAACCTATCTATATTAGTTTACTTACTCATTTAATATTGGCTAAATTTAATTTGTTAAAAATATTCATTTTAGTCTTTCTTTCTAATTTTTAAGAAAAGTTTTTTTGGTGCTTCAATTATTATTATTATTATTATTATTATTATTATTGCATTTTGGTCATTTATTTATATGTTTTTTGATCCTCAAAGTTTTTTTTAAAAAATATTTAGATTTTTAATTTTAAATTTTATGTAATTAGATCCAGGTTGATAAAAAAAATCTAATAAATTAGTGGATGTTAATAAAATAAAAAATAAATATTTATATTTTAAAATTATATTAGTAGGTATATATTTTTTTATTTTTATCTATTTTAATATTTATTAAATATTTTTAATGGGTATTTATTGGTACGAAACGCTCACAAAAAATCAAATACTACTCAGGGTAATGACTCGTTTGGCACTGTCCATTAACGACAAAGTACAAACACTTGCTCTGTTTTTTTTAAAAAAAAATCATTGTTTTTCAGCTAAAAACAAACATTAACTGACTATTGGCTAGTGGTAGACTAACAAAATTAAATTTACTCGTGGCAGGCACTAACAAGTGCTCTTTCGTCCGTAACGCTCACAAAATATCATGCTGCTCATGATACTGACTCGTTTGGCACTGTCAACTAACTACGAAGTACAAACAGTTACTCTATAACTAAAAAGTACAAACAAACACATTTTTTTAGCTAAAAACAAATATTGACTGACCGTTGACTAATAGTAGACAACAAAATTAAACTACGAATTCAGATAGGACACGTCACCAACATAACAACCACCTAGAGGCCATGGTGATCTTCATCGCTTTCCACCACCACAGATGGCTTGACCTGAGCAGGCATAGGTGGCAGCATCCCACAACTACCATCCTCCTCAAAAGCTGCAGAACAAGCACCATCTTCCGCTGCCTCATGAGGCACCCCCACATTCTCTCCTCCGCCAGCACCGCCCATCAACTCGTCAAAAGCAGCAGCAGAAGTGGGATGAATCCTTGGGAAAGGCAAGTAAACTGAATGAACAACAATCTTCAAATTCTTCATCACATCCGGCAACTTAACTCTCACATAGTTAATCCTCATCGGCACCGCCACATTGAATCCACCAGCAGAAGTAACCACCAAAGCCTGACCTCTCTCCAGTGTAGGCAAAGTAGCCCCCACAGGAAGCCTCTCTAAATCAGCAATACTCAAGTAATGATTAGGCACAATGTGAAACCTCACACTGTTAATATACCCATGCGATCCAGAGAAGATCGACACGTCATCAAGAGCAAACACAGTCATGTTAGCCAAATTGACTAGCTCAGGATACTTCACTCTCAATGCAAGAGAGAGAATAGTGAATCCATTATTACGTAACCTAAGCATTGCGTCACGTAACATCAGGCGCATTATAGCAGGCTGCACCAGAGTACCGATACCCTGTTGATGAGTAGTTGAGGTCACGTGAGGGGTTACGCGCTCTTGAAAAGGAAAAGAAAGAGAGCTCAATCTCTCAACATCGCAGGAGAATGGAGAGAGTGGTGCAATATAGCCTTGGATTCCATGAATGATTAAGAGACCGTTGTTGAAGAGATCAGGATGCGTGATCTCTACGCCTCCTATGAAGAGTTTGACGGTGGAAGGAGTGACGGTGTCGTTTTTGAGTGAAGTGGAAGTGACTGTTATACAACGGCCGGGACTTAGGGTTTCGATTTTGGTACCGAAAGAGAGTTTACGGAGGTAATCGATGGTGAAGAGACCGGGAACGATGTGTTCGCGGAGGAGGCTAGGGATAGAGCAAGAGAAGCAAGTACGTAGAGAGGAATCGGATGGAGCGAAAAGAGTTGAAGGACCTGACCAGGCGGTGGTGGTGGAATCGGCGGAGAGAGATGGCGCTGCCATGGCGAGTTGAGTGAAGCCGAGGTGAGAGAGGATTGGATCGAGGAGAGTCGTGTGTGAAAATAAAGAATGGTCGTGGAAGTGATCGGAGGTGGAAATTTGTGGTGGTGGTGAAGTGATTGTTTGTTGTTGTTGTTGTTGTAGCGTTGGTGATGGCTGTGGCGGAGAGAGATTTGTGGTGAAAGTTGTGGTTTCAAGGCCGTCAATGGCTGTTGAGAAGGAGATTATAGAGAGCGAGAGAATAAAGAGAATTAAGAGTTTCAGAGAATACTCCATTTTGACTAGAGAGGGTGAAATGAAATGTGAGGGAGAGGGAGGAGGTTGCGTGTATTTATAAGGGAATCTATAGAAACGGTTATTGGTAGAGCGTGGTGGGCGCGTGGAATTGGGAATTGTGAGAGCGAGAGGATGAGTATTTCGCGTGGGTTCTGGTTAGTTAGAGAGAATGTTCTGGTGTGGTTATGTTTGGCGGGAAAGTTGAAAATGAGGATCTCGTCCTTGTGTTGATGATCGGGGTTTCATTGTGAGATCAGCTTCATCACACGGCTATAAATCGTTGGTGCTATGATAGTTGAGCATGTCACCGTTGTATAATGCCGCTTTTTTCTTTAACACCATCGTAGAATGCTTATGCCACTAACAAGGTGTTCTTTTGAACAGCTACTGTTTACTCGTGTGCTATATATTTGTATTTTTTTTCCTTTTATTTTTGGCTTTTATTTGATTTAGAAAAAAAAAAAAAAAACCTCCAAACCTTGTGGCTTTGGATTGGCTATTGGTTAAGTTACCTGAGCAGCATGCGTGGTTTTCTTTTCAGCATCTGGAAAAATAAAAAATTACACATACGTAAGCAATTTAATATTTTGGGCCATCTCTTTAGATTTGGGCCATGCAATTTCCCAAATTTTTAGGTGAGGCGAGAAATATGTGTGTGTGAGAAGAAATTGTCTGTAGTTTGTGCTTGTTCATTGAGAATTATTTTTAAAGCTGCCAGCCAGTTCAAGTATAAATACACAGCAGACTTCTTCACATATACTACTATCATTATTTATTCATGATATTAATCTTTATTTTGTATTTTTTTTATTGAAGCTTAAGTAGATTAGAAAATATTTTTGTTAATAAAAAGAGAAAATAATATCATTAGATGAATCTTTAGTCAAGAGGTGGGACTAGAATTTGCAAGGACATAATTCAAATTCCATCCCCACCCACCCACCCCCCCCCCCAAAGTTCATTAATCTTACTTTCTCCTTACCCATCTTGTGGCCCACCAATCGGTCTATTTAAGTCTGTTTCGGGCCATCCAGAGTTCTTATGAGAAATTCTTTTCACCTGGCCTTATTTCGGATTTACGTTGTTACCTGCACTTCGCTGCTGTAGGATATATATATATATATATATATATATAGTCTCAAAAGATTTGTTAGAATACATAAAGAAACATAAAATATTATTTGTTCTTAGAATTTGAGTTCCATCAAAAAGAGGTCAATTGATAATCAATAGTTTATCAATCCAACAATATTAATTCTTGAGACACGGTTGCTCATGCATGGCAAACATAGGTAATCGGTTCCTTGTTGGTGGTTGCCCAGCTTGGTTCAGTCCTTCCATATCGACATTGAAAACGTAAGAATTGTAAAGACGTGACACCACAAATCCATGACAACTCTGCACTTAAGTCCACAAATGCAAAAATTACTCTTTAGCCAAAATCTTCTAAACGACATGACAATTCGGCACAAAAAGAACAACACAAACAATCCGATACCCACAACAATGGATTGTCAAACAACTAACAAAGCCAAAACTTAATTCTCAACAAACCCAAAATATGTTCAGCAATAAAGAAATCAATAGAATTGTTCGGCAATAACTTTGAAAACAAAAATCTCAAAATTAAATGCAAATAAGCCGAAATCATAAAACATACAAAAGCCGAAAACTCTAACAAAATAGGATGATATCGAAACCTAGCTAGGCTAGTCTTGTCGAACTTCACCAATTTTTTTTACAAGTCCATTTTATGACTAACAAATATGGTTTGCAAAGTTTCATTCAATTCTAATAGCCCTAATTATTTATTTCAATTATGCTGCACTTTTCCTAAATCCGAAATAACAAAGAGCAAATTCTAATTCTTTCAAAACTAGAATAGCATAAAGTTCTAGGATAATTTCTAATTCAATACAAGTTTCAATTTATAAGAATGAATCGAAACCTACTTGAAAATATATTAAAATTCGAGATAACTATGTCAAAAAACCTACTTGAAAATAGAATGTAAATATTTTCTTTTTTGTAGTTTGATTAATAGATGCAAGAATCTCTTGATGATGAATTGGTGGCAACAACAAGTGTTCAATTGAGGTTATGTTTTGAATATTCAAATCATCGCTATTCATGATTGGAATCTATGACAAAATATTTTTGAGATGGAAAACGAAATAGTCAAAGGCGAGTAAAAGCAAAATAAAAGCTAAAAAATAATAAGAAAAGAAGAAGAAACAAAATCTTATTGCACTTGTTTATGTTGTTTTATGATAGAATGCCTACACCTAGTTAATTTGCTTGAAAATCTCAAACCTTGTCTTGGGTTGATTGCAATAAAAGAAAGCCGAGTCTTATTATTGGTATTGCATGATTTTACGCACACGAGAGAGATATGGCTCGATGAGATAAAGGAAAAACAAAGATGCTTGAAATGAAAAAACTCTTAATGATTATTATTATTGAATTTGTGATTGCCTTATTTATATATAGAAGCTTGCTGAGAATAGACTTTAACCGAAACAAATAACTCGACAACTAAGCACTTAAATAGGTGCAACCAATCATTTGTTATTTGATTGAGAAAATAAATATAAATAAAACACTTGTATTATGAGATGGAAGGATTTGAATCATTATTCAACACTTCTCTTTAATTCAAAGCTGCATACACCAAGTTGAAGTTTAAAGAACTCATACTTAGCTCGAAGAAGTGATTTGGTAAAGATATTTACAATTTGAGAATTTATGTTGCTATACTTCAAACTGATGATTCCATCTGCTACATGCTTTCAAATGAAGTGATGCCCGATATCAATATGTTTTATCCTCCCATGGAATGTTGGATTCTCAATCATAGCAATTGTAGCTTTGTTGTCATAAAAAGGCTTAGTTGCATTTTTCAATCTTTGATTAAGATCAATAAGGATCCTTCTTAACCAAATAGCTTGACATGTTGAAGATGTTACGACTACATATTCGGTTCGAAAGAGGATAAAACAACTATTGTTTGCTTCTCGAACTCTAAGTAATAGCTTCAATCCAAAGGTGAACATATTGCTAGAAATACTTATTCTATCATCCAAAGAACTCTAAGTAATAGCTCTAATCCAAGGGTGAACATATTGCTAGAAATACTTATTCTATCATCCAAAGATGCTGCCCAATCATTATTTGTATAGCCCATCAAACAAAATTTTGCTACTTTGGAATATGAAATTCCAAAATCAAATGTACTAGCAATATACCATAGAATCCTTTTGCGACCCAAAAATGATGCTTGGATGGTTCATGCATGAACTTGGAAATTGCACCTACAAAGAATGAAATACTCGATCTAGTATTAATTAAATAATTCAAACCTCTAACTAGACTCCTAAAAAGCTTTTTATTTTCCTTATCTGTACCATCTTCAAGCTACAATTTTTCATTCACATTCATAGGTGTTGTCGTAGCTTTATAATTGACCATACTTGAATTTCTTTGAAAGATCAAATGCATAATAAGTGTCGATTTTGTTATACCAAGCTCGGAGGTCTTGCTTCGACCCATAAAGAGTCTTATTCAAATTTGTATAGCTTTATAATTATAACATCCAAATTACGTAATTTGAGTTAAATTCTTCAAATTTGGTGAAATCAACGGACTTACAAGTCGATTCTATCTCCTAGGGCCATCTCGAGAATATTTATGGCCTTAGGAAATAGTTATTTTGGTGGCCCTCTAATAATATTAACACATCTTTAAAAAAATATATATTTTTCTTGCTTTTTAAGATGCAAAACCACTAATTAAATTTTTGTATTCGACTTTAGAAACCAAATCTTTTTTAATCGACAATATAACGAAATTACTTAATCTTTCTTGTGACATGGTTGAACGCAAATAAGATTTTATTAATTTTAATTTTAAAAAACTTCTTTCAGTTGAAGTTATAATAATAGAAATAGTTAATAGTATTCTATAAGCTATCCATGCATTCGGAAAAGAATTCATCTTTTTTTACAAAATCTAGTACCTCAAATGGTGTTTTAATTTTCACATTTATAATTTCATTTAAAATTTTTAATTCTAAAAATAAATCTAAACCATCAATATCAAAGAGCATATCATGTTTTAGAAAGTTTTCAAGTTTTACACATTTTTTCTTCAAATTATCATCATCAAGAATTTTTAACTTTTCTACATTGTAAAGGAAACCAAAATTATCTTCATATATTTTAAATTGTTCAAATTTTCTTTGAAGTGAGGAAATGTTGTGATCAACTAAATATGTGAAATAATTTATTCTAAAAGATTTCTTGGCGAGCAATTTCTTCTTTTCATTTTCATTCTCATCAAATTGTTTTTTTCTCTCTTTCTTATACCTTTTTTTACAAAATTTTGATTCTATATTCATTTTCTTTGTGATTGCTTTAACAAATATCATAGAATATATAAACTCATTTTCTCTATAGTTTTCAAAAAGGAAACAAGACTTTTTAAGTGATCTTTTGCAACAACAATATCCATATTTTTAGATTATAAATATTTACTAACCGTATTAACAACAAACAACATATTATACCAAATAATCATGCCTAATCGAAATTTAAAATTTTCAATCTCATAAGTTGCTAAAGAAATAGCTTCACCTTTTGTTTTAGGATCTTCGGTAATTTTTGCTAATTGATATAAAGCATCTCTTATTTATAAAGCTTAAAATTTTATTGCTTTAACACTTTCAATATAACGTTTCCAACATGTTTGCGATAATGACTTAAGTGTTAAATTAGAAACATGATCTTGCAAGATTTTTTATCATTTTTTAGAAGAAAAAAATGAGTATATGCATTATGTCACTCCAAAAAATATAATAGCGTTAGCACATGAATTACTCATATCACAAAGAACTAAATTAAGATTATGACAACCATATGGTGTATAAAATGCTCTAAAATTTATATCTAATAATTTTTTTTTGCACACCTTGATGTTTATCTTTCATATTAGATCCATTATCATATCCTTGTCCTCTCACATCATTTACATCAAGTTCAAGAATTTTTTTCTCGTACTTGTAAATACATTAAAAAGACCTTAACCGAAGTATCATTCGCTTTTATAAAATCTATAAAGTAATCTTCTATTTTTATTGGACTTTTTGAAACATTTACACATCTTAATATATGAGACATTTGTTTTTGATGACTTGTATCTAGGGTACAATCAAGTATAACTGAAAAATATTTTGATTCTTTGATTTTTTTTTTTAATAATAGTATTTCTTATTTCTAATGCTAAAATATTTATCAACTCATTTTGTATATTATGACCAAGATAATGGTTATGGATTTCTTCGTTTTAAATACGTCTAAGGGGTTCTTGCATTATTGGATCCAATTAAAAAATCATTTAAATGAAACTTTAAAAATTTCCATTATTTTCTTGATAAATCTTCCCATTTGCATCAAAAAATGCCAAATTATTTTTTGAAAGATTTTTTTACAACAACAATAATTCTTAATAGTACAATCTTCCAATGCTCTTTCTCTCTATTTATTTTCTCTTGTAAACATTTATCAATTGTCTTATTTTTAAGCAATCTCATCTCAAAATCAACTCAAATGTTCATATTTATAGCACATTCATTGCTTGTTTCATGAATTTTAAGTTTGGCATTAAGATTTTTTCAATCTTCACACCCTTCATTTGCTAATTGATTTGCTTTTAAACTAAATAATTAAAAACAAAAACAAAACACTTTATCCGATTCTTTTGAATACACTAGCCATTTTCTATCATGTTTTTCTCCATTTGGTAATTTTCAAATGTAATGAATCATAGAAAAGTGTCTTGAATTTTCATCCCTTCGAAGATCTAAAACTATTCTAATTGGCCATTTTTCAAGTATTAAATCACTAAATCTTGCGTCTAAATTATTTCATTGTGCCGGGTCATAAATATTTTTAATAGTTGTTTTCATTAATATTTTCATTCTTGTCGATTGGAATATCTTCTTCTAAATTTTCATGATATTCGTCACAAGTATTTGATGAATTTGAATAGTTATCTTTAAAATTTTCTTCATAATTTTCAATTGATTTTTCATTTAAATCTTCTTTTGGTTTTTCTAGCATTTGATGTTTCGTATTAATAACAAATCTATCAAGTTTACTTTTTTGGTATTGAATTTGTTCTTTCATCTTTCTTTTTTTCTTATGTTTTTCAAATCTAGATTCATACTTTCTAGTAGATATTTCTATTTAAAGAACAAATAATTTAGAGTCCTTAATATTATTTTGCTAAAATAATATAATTATAAAGAACAAATAATTTAGCACATAATTTATTCTCTTTTGATTTCGCTTTGATACTATAAAATCTTATATTATTACCCTTCAATCGGCATAAAAATAATAACATAAATAAATATCATTCTAATTATAAACAAAAGCACGATACAAACAACTCACAAAATAATATACTGATCCAACTCAACCCTACAACAACATTTTCAATTAAAAATCTTGTCTTGATTAAGACTAATGCAATCCGACTTTATAACAAAGGAACAACATTGTTAAGTAAAAGATAAATATTTAGTATTTGAAAAAGGTACGGACAAATATTGGATAAAGCATAAAAAAAAGATAACAAAAATATTGAGAGAGATTAAGCTTACAGAGAGTGTGAGGACTGTGAGGATTGAGGAATGGGTCTTCTAAGAGGGAGTAATTGATTTTTGCTTAAAGCTACTAGAATTAAAGAGCAATTATATGAAAATATGAAATTTGACTTTGTTAGAGTTTTAAAGAGTAAGGATATGAAATCTGACTTTAATAGACTTTACCAATTTTTTTTTTCAGCCCCTGTTTTTTGGAGGCCTAGGCGTATGCCTTGAGACGGCAGTGTTGACTCCCTTCTTTTTTTTTTTTTTTTTGGTGCATGCATCTTTTTTCTTTTTCTTTTCGTTCTTTCCACCCACATGCATGTTTTACGCGTGCGGAGCTGAAATCCATCATTGTCTACGCAAAGTGTAGTCTGGTTGTCCTGGGCACGAAGGTGTTGGGTTGAGTTGAAGTAATAAGGAAAACAAAATTGTTCTTAATTGGGCTTATAATCCACAAAAGCCATTAATTAAGTGATAAATCTAAAAATTATAAAAGGTCGAGAGAAGAGTCAAAACTCAAACATATCTCCATATCGAAGGGAACCAAAAAAAAGAAAAAAAAAAGAAAATTAACAGGAAAATGACAATGCTTTTCATTTACAAAGAAATGGCAACAAAATCTGGTACAATTAAAGAATCATATAATGTTTTTTTTTGTTGGAGTCGCTGAACAATAAAATAAAACTAAGCCATTCTTTATGCCATAATTTTCCAACAAATTTCCTTGAGCCTCCAAAAGAATTGTAGTATAATATTGTCGTCGAGAACTATTAGGGCTTGCGGAAGTTCTTGGTTGCACCACAGCCCATGATAGATGAGGGCAATTTTCCAACCCTCTCTATACCTTCTTCAAATGCCACTCCCATGCCCATAAAGAAATGTGACTCAATGTGGCAATGGAATGCCCAAACTCCTGGGTTATCAGCTTTAAACCTAAAAGCTGTCCAGCCATAAGTATGTACCGGCACCGTATTCTTCATAATCGGATCGACCAAATTGTACTTCTTCGGATCATTAATTGGATCGAACTTGCCCCTTCCATAGCCCAGGACCCAAAAGTCATGTCCATGAAGATGCCATGGATGTGTCTCACTATTGTTGGCATTCCTAGTGTTCGCATTTTGCAAAATAATATCCACTGTTGAATTGAACTGAAGCCTGTAGATGGCGTCACTAGTAGTAGCATTGGTGTTGTTTTGTACAGCACAAATGTCATAATTTGCGAAATCATATCCTTCAGGAGGTGGGGTTTGGCTAAAGGTATGAAGCAAGTTCTCCTTTAGCGAAATTAGGTAAGGCGTATGAGGCAAATTGAAAGAGACATTATTAACTGACCAACGAACATTACCATTTACCAGATTTTGTGTGTTCAACAAAACTATGACCCTGTCAGAGGTGGCAGGAGGGGAATATATGTGGCCTTTGCGAGCCTTAATGGCAAGACTTTGATTAAATCGCGAATCAACGTCGTTCCACATAGGCCCGGAGGGAGGAATCGTCGGAGGGGATCTCCGGGGATGGTTTGGATAGTAGTTGAAGATGGCTAAGCCTGGTGGAGTAGTGGCATTTCTGCTAACAACATTTGTAGTAGCCCAATAATTTCTTGAAGGGTCTTGGTCAGTTTTCACCAGGACTGAGTATGTCTCGCCGGAGTACAAGAATAAATTCTTTACCACAAATGGCTCAACATAGTGACCGTCAGCTTCAACAACAGTCATGTTGTGACCCTGCAAAAGAATTATTAAGATTGTAATTTAATGACCGTTCCATTATTATTATTATTTTCTTCGAATAAGCTGTACTGTATAAATTGGCAGAAGATGGAAAATACCTCTATTTGGAAACTGAGAGCTGACAAAGCAGTCAGGCTACTAATCCTAAGCCGATATGTTTTTCCAGGGACTACAGTTGTAGAATAGAGAGAGCATTCGGGACTTGTATTATTGCAGACATCAGCTTTCAGGGGAGGATTGGCAGTGGAGCATTCAAATCTTCCCTTTCCTTGTATCAGAAGCGACTGCAATTTTTGTTGCAAGGAACAGTTTAGCGACATGAATTTATAATTAACACAATAAAATACAGTGAAGATATCAAAAAAGGCAAGTGTAAGATGATTAAGTACCTGAGGCTCCCCAACCCACTGAAAGGCCTTCGAGGACAATCCGGCAGCTTGTTCATATGTGCTCTTGTGATACCAATCATTAAGGATGATGCTTCGATCATAATCATAGTCAAAGGGTTCGGATTCTCCATCAGGAAGTGCTACGCGAATCGATCCATATAGCCCAGCTTCTCTTTGCATTCCATAGTGGGCGTGATATAAATATGTCCCAGGCTGCAGAGAGCATTCAAGAGGTTATTATTATACATTAAACGTAAAAAAGCTGTCTATTACAGAATGTTAAGTGTTGAGGACTTACCCTGTCAACAACAAACTTGTATACGAAAGTGTCTCCTGGCAAAATTGGGCACTGAGTGATTCCTTCTGTTCCATCAAACCAAGGTGTTCCAATCTGACGAATTCCATGCCAATGAATGGCTGTATTCTCAGTTAACAAACTGTTCTTGACCTCAACAATAACTGTGTCGTTCTGCTGTGCGAGAATTGTGGGTCCTGGAGTTTTTCCATTAATTGTAATGACCAACTTCTTGTAGCAATCAGGGGATTTGTACTCGTACTTGATCTCCCATTTGTAATGACGAATTCTACCCTCAGCAATTGGTATGTTTATCAAAGAAACAATGAAAAGGCACAAAGCCAAAAACCTTATTATGGCAATGCTTTTGGATTCTGAAAGCTGATAACCACCCATGTCTTTAAAATGTGTTCTTGTGGCAAGCCACCCCTGTATTGAGCTAAATGAAATGAAAATGTGATTGTCTTGCTTTGGAATCTCTAAAGCACTCTTTTATAGTGCTGATTGCGGAATGGTTCCTCTTTAATATGGTTAGTTTGAAAAGTCCAAGTCAAAATAATATCACGAATTGATACAAGTTCATGTCCTGGTCCTACATGGCTAGCTTTCACATGGGCCTAATCAGAAAACGCGTAAAATGATTAAGAATATGTCCCGTTATGTAAAACACGGGTTAATAGTTGTAGAGATACTTTTATTTTTTGTTTTATTTTTATTGTGATTTTTTTAAAAAAAAATTTATCTCTTGTTTAGGTTCTGTTTCAATCTCATGTCTTTTATTAATTTTTTAAGCTAATAGGAGTAAATCATATCGTTAGTCTAACAAATTTACGTCAACTTTTTTTTTTTATCTAATCTCTTTACTTTTTTTTATGGAATTTTAAATAAATAATTTTTTTTAAAAAAAATATATATCTTATCATTTTCTCCAAAAAATGAAAAAATAAAGATAAAAATATTTTTTATTCAAAAATTTCTTATATTTTGTTACCAAATTTTGTTAATTTGACTCAAAAGTGATAATATAATTTTTTATTTCATTTTCACTAGAGCTCCTTTTCAAGATGAGAAAAACAAACTCAAAACTTGCAACAAAATTTATATTCTAAAAAAATCTTAATAAAATTTATATTCCCAATTTTGAGTTAAATTAAAAAAAATTATAAAATCAAAATAAATAAATTATAATAGGCTTTTTTGAGGTATTATAAAATTATAAGTACTATTTAAAAAATTAACTACAATTTTTTCACATTAAAAAATTACTATAAATATTTTATTTTATACTCAAAATTTTGGTTAGTCTCATAGAGATAAAGTTTTAATCCCATTAAAGGTAATTAGATAAAAATATTTTTTAATTTTTGTCTTTTCTTTCTAGTTTTTAGAGAGCATAACCCGATATATCTTTACTTTTTTAAAAAAAATAATATATTTAAATTTGGTAAAAGAGAGAGAGAGAGAGAGAGGGAGAGGGAGAGAGAGAGAGAGAGATAGAAGGGATGAGATTAAGATTTAAAAAAAAATTATAGTAATTTAACATGTGTCGTAATCCTATGAGATTAACGAGTGTGATTTAACATCGTTAACTTAAAAAGATAACTAAAAGACAAGATTAGCATAGAAACTAAATAAAAATAGATGAATTAAAACAAAACAAAAAAAAAAAAAAAGAACAGAGGAATGTGATAATAATGAAAGAAAGACTAGAATAATTTATGCAGCTACTAATCCAGAAAAAAAAAAAAAAAAGGAAGGATAGCGAGGGTTTAATTAAAATCACCAAAGTGCTGAGATATTCGAGTTTTAAGCACTTTTTAGCTCAAAAGTTCAATTCCTCAATATCATAAGAAATTCAAGTTACTGCCCTGTCATTTAAGCCAAATTTCTAATTTATTCTTAAATTTAAAAACAATTCTAACATGTTTCTATTATTTGAACTGATTTTTAATTTATTATTTTAGTTAAAAAAATTTTTTATCAAATTAAGCATATGATTTACATATGGTATATATGTGATTTGATAAAATTATCTAATAAAATTATTTTTATTTCTTTTAAATACATGAGTTCAGAAGTGATGGCGTGTTTAAGACTTATAATTAAAGGACTAATTAGTCTCAACCTATAAAAGTTATCCCCAAAGACATATAGTTGAGACCAAAAAATTTCATCCACGTCAAAAGAAATTAACGTGTTTTTTCTTATAAAAGCAACAGGTATGATTTTCTTTTATTACTGTTTAATCTTAGCATCATTGCACAATCATAATTTATTGTGATAATGACAAGAAAAAAGTAGGTTTTAAGTTTTAACGTTGCAATGGTACAGACAACTTGCCGGCGGATAAGCCAACGTCACCAATAACAGTATCTAAAACGTAAGATATTAAAAATAAGAGCTACGGTGTTTGTTTGCTTAATTAATGATGCATAAGCAATATTTTTTAGTTTCGTCCAATAATAATATGACATGTGCTTAGATTTAATGTTATAAGTCAATAATGATATGGACACATCAAGTTTATGTCATTGGTATTTTAAATGTATATTTTCTAATAATCATAACGGGTAGTGAACTAGTAAACAAATATTAACTTGTAAAATATTTTCAAATTCAATTGTTATGATCAGTGTTTTGAAAATTTATTCTTAAAATACCCGAAGTCATGTGTTGGAAAGTATCTTTTAATTACCTTCAGAAAATAATTAGTCTTGAGGTGTGTGAAAGATGACCCGATGATGTACTTATTACTCAAGGAAAAAAAAGTTTATTTTCTAATAGATTTATCTTGTCGCGAGGTGACGTCGATGATGAGGGCAATGAGTTGAGGTGAAAATGAAAAAAAATAAGCAAAGATAATTGGAGTCGCTACCTAATATTATGGTACTAGGAAACCCTATGACTGGTCCGTTCGAGTTCTAGATAAAGAGTTTATTACGTGTAGGGAAGATTAAAGATTACCCTATCCCGTCATGCCTAAGGCAAGCTGCATTGCTTAGAAAGTTAACTTGATTTTTTGATTTTAAATTATGAAAGACTATACTTATTTTTCAAGCATTTACCCACTAGTTGAGTGATTTGGGACTTGACCGGTCAAAGACCTTATCCTCACTCTGTAATGGATGGCTAAAAAATGATGAATGCAAGGATATGCTACTAATGCAATTTAGACAGCGTGCATGAAAACAAAACCTAAAAATAATAGACAAATAGGCAAACGAGACAAAAAAGGTAGACCGACAAACCGATAAATAGGCAAATAGACAAATAGACAAACAAGCAAACAATGAAAAAATCAACAAATTAGAAAAATTGGCAAATAGGGGAATTGACAAATAGGTAAAATCGACGAGATAGGCAATGAGGCAAAAATCAACAAATAGGCAAAGATCGGCAAATAGGAAAAAATTGACAAATAGGCAAAAATCGATAAATAGACAAAAATCGACAAGTTGGCAAAAATCAACAATTAGGCAAAAATCGATAAGTTGACAAAAACAACAAAAATCAACAATTTGACAAAAATCGACAAGTAAGGAAAAAATAAGTAAAAATCGATAATTCAAGCGATCATAGGCAAAGAATCGACAATTAAGGCAAAAATAAATAAATATTGACAATTTAGGCGATCATAGGCAAAAATTGACAATTAAGGTAAAAATAAGTAAAAATCGTCAATTCAAGCGATCATAGGCAAAAATCGACGAGTTAAAGTAAAAATAAGTAAAAAATCAATAATTTAGGCAATCATAGGCAAAAAATCGACAATTAAGATAAAAATAGGCAAAAATCGACAAAAATTGACAATCGAACTAAAATCGACAAAGAACGAGAAAAATGAACCGAATTAGTTGTCTTGACGTACATAATTAATTATGTGATGAAAACAAATTTACATGGAAAAAGTTTAAACTTGCTTCATTCGACGTTGTGTCCTTTTTTAATAACATTACCACATAAGACGTGTTAAAAAAATATACATGTATCGAATAATAGCAAGTATCTTAAAGTCCAAACCAACATTTCATTCACCAAATCACGAAATCAATAATATACATCACCACAATTCAAATAAATTATACATGAACAATAGATCAAATTAATTACATAATACAATCAATTAATCGATTACGAGCACATATTGATATGAATCACATATAATACATGTTAAAATAAAAATAAAGTAAAATAAAATAAAAAGTGGGAAAAAGATTACCGTAAAAAAAGGAGGCGGACTAGTCGGTTGAATTTGGGATCGCTCGGACTCTTTTTAACCACGATGAAGACCGATATTCGGTCAACCGAAGAGGAAAGACGACTAGGAATGGCGGTGCCGCCGCATGGGCGCAGGCAAGGCGTTGCCGGCAAGGCGAGGCCGGCCGGCGCCGGCGCCGGCGCTAGTTGGCTTGCAAGTTTGCTAATAGGCGCCGGAGCCGATTGGCTTGGGTGTTGCCGCCGGCGTTGGTTAGCTCGGGCATTGGAGCGAGGCCGCACATCGGGGGTGTTGCGCGCTGCAGGCCGCCGTCGCTATCGTGCACTGGAGGCTACCGCGCGTTGGATGCTACCGCCGGCAGGGGGCGAGGGCCGCGCAGTGAGCGGAGGGAGAGGCTGCCGTGTGGGGCCGTGTAGAAGGGAAGGTTGGTGTGTGGAGGCTAACCGGGGGAAAGAGGTGATCGCTAGTGGGCGTGTGTAGAGGGGCCGATGTGGAGATGGAGGAACCGACGACTAGGGTTGTTTTGGAGAGGTAAACGAGTTGTCTTTTACTTTTCGAGAAAAAAGTGACTTTTATATTGTTTTTTAGGATTTTTGGCTAAAATTTGATTTGGTCTCTCATCTCGCTAACTCGCTTTATTTCGGCTCTTTTTCTCTCTCATTTTCCAATCGTATCCCTCGATTGTCCTTTTTATTTTATTTTTTGCTTTTTTTTTATTTTTGGAAAAAATTTGGGTGCTAACATTTCTCAAATGTATTCTAATTTTGTTCTCATCCAATACCGGTATATTTCTATCAAAATGTAAATGCATTTAAAAGAGAGAGATTAGCAAAGTGTTTTTAACACAACATTGATAATATATATATATATATATATATATATATATATATATATATCATGATCTATTTTTTTTTTAATTTTATTTAAACCAAATGAAAATTTTTGTTGAAAACGTTATAATAAAATCCATATTGAATAGTTTTTATTAATTGTAGCACAATAGAAAAAAAGAAAAAGAAAATTGATCAAATATCATGTTGATCATTTCAAGATACTTTAAATTCTTAAAAGTGCATTATAGCACCCTTATTGTCTTTCAATTAAATCTTTTTTTTTAAGATACTAATTTGTCTATATTTGTTCGATAACTAAGTGAGCCATCTATCACCCAATTATCGAA